ACAGAAGAAGACATGAAGTAGCTACAAGAGTTCCATCAAAATATCTAATACTGTTTCAAACATTTGAAAGCTCTCAGGGAAAAGTAAAAAAAAAAGAAGTAAATTAACCAGGGTATTGGACTGGATCCCTGTGGGTCCCTTCCAACTTGGGCTATTCTGTGATTCTATGTTGAAATTGTGTTTTCAAAACTATCCTCTTTAGAAATATCAACTTTGCAAAGCTTTTTTTTTTTTTTTGTACATTTTTAAATTGGGACACTTTTCTAAATACATATTTCTCTTTTAACAGTTTTGGGTCACTGTTTTACTCTGAAAATGTTTTGCCAGGAAATTTCTTGTCAGCAAATCCAGCGGGTCCCTGATTTCACAGTTGGAGGTGGGTGATTTTGAACTCACATGGATAGAAAAGCAGGAGTATGGCTAAGCTGAGAGTAGTGCTGTCATTCGAATACATGGCTGTTGCTTGAACTGACAGCCATTCAGAAGTTCATTAGTTCTTGGCAGTTGAAAACAAATGGAATTCATTTGACTGGCTCAGGAAAATTCGACCCCTACTGTTGAAAATTCAGCATTGGTTCAGATATAGCTGAGAGTAGGCCTGGTGGCTCGGACAAGAAGGCTGATCACATGCCATGGGACTGATGCTGGAAAACATAGGTTCAGATCTGTATCTACTATGATCTCCCTTCTGACATCTAGCTGTGTTTTTCCTTTGAGCTTCATTTTCCCTTCACCGCTGTTTCTTGCAAATATGAGCAATACGCTGAGCAGCGTTGTGCTGTCATGGTGATGTGGTCTAAACAAATGCAGAGCACTTTGCCAGTTTCAAAACTGAAATTCTTGTTGCGAATGAAAAAGCAGAGGAAGTTGCTGTTTTGTTTGTACAGTTTCTCACCTGAGACTCTGAGTCATACATACTGGCTTGCATGTTTGCTGGACTTTCAGAGATCCTCTTGTGTTTTATCAATTTCAGTGACAGATATCTCTGTGCAGTGACAACTTCCACATAAAACTGATCAGCATTTCTCCTTTAAGAAGCATTTCTTTCTGTGCAAAGTAGTTTTCTTTGAAGGGAGTAACAATTTTCCTCCCAAACTACTTTAGTTTCTTTGAGTTAAAGTGGAAAATACTTATATTGTTAAAAATTTTACTAAGCATCTGTAAACCATTTAGAGATCAAGAGGGAAGTAAATACTTCAAGAGGGGGTAAGGGGAAGCCAGTAACCAGTTTTCAAATATTCTCATTTCTGAGTATGGCCCTGATGTGTGGTTCTGAGGGGAAGGAGAGTCTGGATCTGTTCTGCATGTCTGCCACATCCTTGCCCATGAACAGAATCTAGTACTTGGCATGCCCTCCCACAGCCTGTTGCCTTCCTGCTATTGACCCCTTCTCTAGAACTCTACTTACATTTTCTGATGGCTTTCTCTTTTACACTAGAACATCTCCAAAAATAATTCAGGTTCTTATTCCTCGTTTAAATGAACAGTATGGTAGATTTAATAATCTAGTACTTACACAGTTACGTCATATCAGTGTATGGACTAAGGAATAATAACCAAAGAAGCAGGATTTGGTGTTCCATTCCTGTTTCTACAAAGTGTTAGAAAAATCATCAAAAGACAAATTCTCAGCATTGGCTTTTGTTGGCTTTGTTGTTCTTTCTAAGAGTACGTTGGCTGCTAACACTGTTCAGGTCATCTAAATTTTGCTGCAAAATGTCAGTACTGCACCAATTCAAAAAGAACAGAATTTACTGCATGAAAATGGCCTTGAAGTCCAGCTCTTCAGGAACTGTGTGCCTTTCCCCTCATTCTGCAGGCTGAGAATCTCCACTGTCCTCATAGAGGACACCATAAAGTCCTCATAGTGGAAGATGGTATAGAAGAACTGCCAATAGTGGTGGTAGTTTTGTGGGGGTTTTTTTGTTTTGTTTTGTTTTGTTTTGTTTTTCTTTTTGTTTTTTGGTGTTTTTTTTTTTTTTTTTAAGCTAGTTCTTTGTTTCCCAGCATTTTAATTGCACTCATTTATTTTGAGTAATTTCCTAACTTTGAAAAATGCCCATGTTACAAAGCATAAACTTATCCTCCATGGGGATGTGAAAAATGTCCCATGGATCAAACAAGAGTGAGGAGTAAAGAGGTTTTCTAGGCAGCAGTGCAATTTACAGAGAGCTTCTATCACCACAGCACCAACCTTTGTAGGAAAAAGTTGTTCTGGCAGAGAAGGGGGGCACAAGATGAGAAACGATGGGAGCAGGTCTGAAGCCTGGAGCAGAAGAGGAGAAAGCTGGGGAGAGAAGGACAGGCTGTGGTAGGTGTGAGCAGGGCCAGCAAGGGATTGCTCAAGCACTGTGTTGTTTGTCATCCTGCAGCTCCAAGTGTCACGCGCGATCCTCAGTGAGAGAGCAAACAAGGTTAAGGAAGTGAATAGCCTCTGGGGTTGATTAGCCACTGAGTCTGGTTGCTGTGGCTCCTGCCTTCTGCAGACACCATATGTTTGCAAAGGACCTCAGGCAAGGGTTTAATCTGGCTTTCTGGGCAGAAGAGGAAGATAGACCACCCTTCTTGCATATCTGCTTTTAAGAGATCCCAGTGATGGAGGTCCTCTTGCAGATCCCATTCCAGAATACCTCCACTCTGAGCTTGGAAGACCTTCCTGAAGTGTTTAGTCCTCTTTGCTGCAAATTAAACCAACTTGATTTTTCTTTACACAATAAATATGGTAAGCGACAGACAACCATCTCGTAATAACCTATTACAAATGGGTAATATTCCACAGAAGTTGTCTTTTCATCTATAGGATTGAGCACCAGTGCTTTGTACATGATCTCTAGTAAACATGCACTAAGTTAAGATTGCTTCACTGTTTCCTTAGCCTCAGTTTTGCAAACTATGAAGTGGCCCTCGTGGGTAGCTCAGGGAGAGGGGATCAAGATTGAGCAGCACGAGGTGCCAGCTGCCCTCTGAGGGATATTTGTCAGACTGGGTCACTGATACTGAGTAGAGGAAGGGATGGAAAACACAAGTCCCTCACATTGCCCTCAGAGAGTGGACTGCTGCTGAGAATGAAATTGTTAATACTTTGTAAATCATGTTGGCAGTTTTCACAGGAATATTATGGGTTGCAGAGCCATGAGGTAAGGCACTAGAGGAACACAAGTTTCCTGGAACAAATTAAGCACTGGCTTTCTGATGGCTTTCTGAAATATGTGAGCTCACATAGCATAACAAAACAGGGATCTACGTTCTCTGAAGACAGTGGATATGTGCTGTGCTGACAAACTTTCTTACTCTTAAACTGGAAGGCAAAATCTTGGAGAGCTTTACTGTTGATGATTCATCTTTAAGATAAAACACATTTTTAATAGCAAGAATAGTAAGTCATCACAGTAGACTAGCCAATGCTGTGGTAAATCCTTTGGCATTCTGGGACTGGAGGAGTTCTTTCTGCTCTTATTTGCAAATTAAGTTCTGCAGGATCACTGGGTGAAACATAGGACCCCCACTCTCTATTTCATATTTCACAATAACACAGTCTGTTTTAATCAATAAATATGACTATCCCTTGAATGAAAATCAGCCATGCAAATGTTTCATATGCCAATACAATTTATGTTTTCATTTGTATGGGCTTTTAAAATTATGTTTCATAGACTTTACATAGCGTGACACACTTCCCTTCCTTACCAACATCAGTTTAAGACCTAAATGTGATGCATTGTCTGTTTTCTTAAAAAACACTGCCTTTTTCTGTAGCATATCCGTTTAAACTAATCAGCGTCTTGGAAATTCCTTTAAGGAACTATTCCCTTCCCAGCAATGGTTTACAGAGCTTACCAAGAACATTGTGCAATACGATAGCAAGCACTCTTGAACTCTTTTCTCTGCCTCTTTGTAATTTCTGAACCCACTGGCCAGTTTCCACCCAGTTTCACAGAAGAGAAACACCCACTACAATACAAGTTCCTATCTTCCTGGAATCTTGAAGAGGAATGAGGCTTTAGTGCTGCTTCCCACCAAGAGGATGACTCTGAGCAAGCGTAACATTTGCAGGAGACTGAAATTGGTTGGGTGCAGCAGCCCTGATGCTTCTCCTTCCTCCTGGCTTGTGGTTAGCACAGCAGAAATCTGGCCCCAGCCTGACCATAGCCTTTGTAACACACCCTCCTTCGCATCAAACCCTGTGGCTCTTCTTTGCTCAAGTTAGGACAAATGGCTCTGAAGCAGCTGATGTTTAAAAGGGGATTTATTGCCAAATCTCAAAGCTCTTTACAAGGAGGAGACAAAGTGCTGCCTTTCTGCTGGATGCAGTGGCTGCTTTTGAGATAGCCATCCACATTTACTTGCTTGCAAGCTCACTTCCTTCCTGTCACAGATGTAACCTAGTGGCACAGCCTGAAACACAGAATTGCACCCCAACACTTCATGCCCACAGGGCTTCTAGGCACTAGAAAGAAATCTTAGTGTAGTCAAAAATTAGAAGTGTACTTTTAAGGGGAGGGGAAAAAAGTGCATGATGTACACTGACCAAAGGAGTTGCTGCAGGACTTCAGAGCAAAGACTGAATGGAGCAGGATCCAGTCTCTGACTGTGACCAGCACTGCCATTTGCAGAGGAGCAAGAAGCACTCCAGAAGGCAGCTACAGGGTAATTCACCCTCCTGCTTTAGGGAGAGCCCAGCTTAGAACCAGAATGAGGAGAACAAGTGTGAACACTGCAGAAGCAATATGATGTTGTTTCTGATAAAGTCTGGGTGAATCAGGCTTATGGCCAAGCTATTTATTTTAGGATGAAACTGCTAACGCTATGAGCAAAAGTAGTTAAAAACAAAACGTCTCTAACATAATGTTTTCAGCAGTAGAGTTACTGGGTGCTATGGAGATTCCATCTAGTAAGTTCTGTTAGTACAGTAAAAACAGTAATTAGCTGCAGCCTGTAAAATGATTTAACATGCCCATTTTGTTACAAATAGAGGTTTGTTCTATTAAGATTTCTACGGATTGGTATTCAGTAAAATGTCAGACATTTATTCATTAGAATATTCAGTATTATATAAAAATATACAGTAAATATAAGCACATCCTGTAGGTTTGGCTGTAACAGTTAAGGATGTCTCAGTATCTTCATCAGTACTTTGCCAGATGGGTATCCACAGAACACACTGCCACAAGAAACACCTGTGAGAGCAAAAGCATTTGTATATATATTGGGGGGGTGGAGCTGTTGGAATGGAAAGCAATTTCCATTCTCATGGGCTTTCAGTTCCAGGCTTTGATTTGCCCATCCTGGAGTTTACGACTGGTTTCAACCTTGGGATCTGAACCTGTACCAAGAGATTGCTGTGGTTTGTGTGTCTTCTTGGTAGTGTGAACTTCTTTTCCGCATCTACTTTATCACTTATTACAAAACTGCATCCCTCAAATGCCTGCCTGCTCTCTGAAGCTGATGTCCCTCGACTTCCAGTGCGCACAGGGTTCTGACAGCTCACATTCATACCACACAGTGTTCGGTAAACAAAAGTGCACATGCAGAAAAATACATTTAGATAGCAGATAGGCACTGAATATTTTCTGTATTATTAGCCCTTGTCCTAAGAATATTTGAAAGCAAAACCCACAGTTCACATTCAGTCTACAGCAGCAAATTACACAGACCCAGAGTTTATTCCGGGCTGCGTGCCTGGCAGTGGGCTTAGGACATAGGAATTTTTTTGTCTCACAGCAAAGCTTTTGTGGCACCTGAGCCCTGAGTGTTTGACCATGTAGAACCTCTCATGTGAGAGAATGACAAGTGATTTTCCATGCACTGTCTACAGCTCAAGAGAGGGGGATAGACCACCATGGCTGCTTTAATCAAAAGAGGCTCTGGGTAACGAAAAACGGGACATTTGGAAGACCAAAGGTGATATTTCTATGCTGAGACACATGAGCCCATTGGCAAGGCTAAGAAGAGATGAATACAAAGCTTTACTGAGCTGCTGCAAAGGGAAGAGTTTGCAGCCCACTGCAGCTTTGCGGAACCTGGGAAATTATACAAAGAAAATGGAAGAAGTGGAAATGGGGGAGTGGAGTGCAGTGCTGACAAATGAGAGAAAAGAGCTAAAGTAGCATGTCACTCCTTAAAACCAGTCAGGGAAGATTGTCATTTTCTGTGCTTCCAGAGCCTGCCTTAAGCAAAGGAGAAGCCCTTCATGGTGTCATATGATTCCCCTGAGAGCAAATACTGTAGAGAATAGGTGAGGGGACCCAGCTCAGGTACAGTGCTATGCAGTAGCAGCACAGACGTGATTTTATCACAATGTTAATCACTAGAGACCCTGGGAACTGGGGCTGCTTTCAGCAGGTGGGTCGGGAAGCTGTGGGAATTGTGCCAGAGCCTTTTGCAATGCCTTCTTCAGACCCTTCTGCAGCAATGTATTTTTATTTTAATATACTTAAGCCACAGGGACCAGCCCCAAAGTTGCGCACACAAAATGCCTTTCCCTCCATACTCCAATTATTCCAGACATTTGTGCCAAACTGTGGCTCTCAGGCTGGCCAGAACACAGCAGGTAGAAACATGTTAAATAGGAAGGGGGATCCCATCCAGACTGGCTGCCTGATGTGCATGTTCCTGTCAGTTAACATCCCACAGCAGAGAGCCAATGGCTAAGGGAACGCATGTCCTTAGAATATGAGCTTCTTACGGACAGGCTGCCCCAGGCCATCTTCTGGGCACAAGCTCTCCAAACATCTGGCTAATTGTTCCCAACCCTAATGGCATTCAGAGTTATAGGATGCATATGGTCCTTACAAAGAAACATGTTGTGATGCTACAACACATTTCTTCAAAAGCCAAGGGTAACCTGCTTTGCATCGTTGCCTCAGTTTCTATATTAATGGAACAGAAACAATTAATATTTGCCTGGCAGTGATGCATTGAGACTTGCATTCACTTACACAGTGCTTAGCACACCTACAGCTCTGCCCAGCTGGACTCAGAAGAGTGCCTTCGTACAGATGTGCTAGATCTGAGGACACTTCTTGTAGGCAGGAGCTGGCCAGTTTTGCTCACCTCTGTGTAAGGTCACTTTTTAAATGTGAATGTCGTTTTATGAGCATCTTCAGAGAAGTTGAAGCCATTTATCCTTACATTCCTAGATGTCACCAAGCCAGGTGCTCCAGGAAGTCTTGCCAACAAATGTATAAACAAAGTAAAGTTTTCTCTGACTACATTTATCTTTAAATGAATTAAATGGGAAGACTAGATATGTGCCAGTGTAATCTGGTATCTGCTTGTAAATACAGATAGACAGGGGCATTTGCTAGAATAACCATTCTGCTTCTTTCAAAAATTGAACTTGGTTTGACTATCAGAAATTGTTAAGGCCTGATCCATTCATTCGAAAGGACTTTGGATCAAGTCCATAAAGACTGTTCACATTTTCAAACTGTTCAGTGTCTTGTAACTTTCTGCTGTGCTAAAAGGATCTGAGCTGGACTGGTATGTATGTACAGCGTGAAGAAAGAGAGAGAGGCTATAACTGAAAGCTCAATTCTGTTCCATAAACATGGTGCATGCACAGCAAAACACCACCTTTTGAGCACTGGCCTAGCAATAGTACAAATCATAAATGGCAAAAGTTTAGCTTTGAATTCTGAAAAAGAAGTCTCTTTGAAGAGTGTGTCAGGGAGCACTTCTCCTATAAAGAGTCACTAGATCTTTTTGCTTTTCTTTCTGTTTCTGTGTTGCTTCTTTTTTCAGTTCTCCAAGGCTTTTAATTTCTTGCAAGACTTGTGTAGCTTGCCGAAGTTGTTCTACAGCCTCATTGAGTAATGTCTCTGCCACCACCGGGGGTCCATTGCCCTCCTGGGCCTGCTCCAACCCTTCCCGTAAAACCTTCTGCAGAAGTTTTTCTGCCTTCTCCCGTTCATTAGCAACTTTCTCCTCCATTTTAGCTAAGCAGTAATGGGAATCCTCAGTAAGACCTCGGTGTGGAAGTGCTCTCTGTGTACTTTTGGAATCAGACAACAAGTCTCCCAGAGAAGAACTGCGAAGTTTCAGAGCTGAAGGGGTTTCTACAGATATTTTTTTCTCAATAGTTCCTTTTACGCTTTCATGGCCTGACTCTGTAGCTAGGGAACTCTCTCTCTGTTCTGCTGAAGTTTGCTGTTCCGTCTCAGTTGAGGTTCTCCCATTTCCTTCTTCAGTTTCAGCTGCTTGGGATGCTGACTCTGCTGCTTCACCAGCTTCAATGCCATTCACCGGGGACTTGGAACTGCCAGACCTCAGTTCTTCCAAACCGCCAGCTTCCAGATCACTGTGGCTGGAGTTCATAGTGGCTATCATTTTTTCTGATAGAACCTTAGGAGGAGGAAGAGGAGGCTTTGCAACATCTGAGGTAGCAATTGCAGCAAGGCTGTCTTTGCCACTATCTTCTGATAATTCCAAGTCTTTTGCATTTTTAGGCTCAAGGACTGGTTGGTCCCAAGCAACTTTTAGTTTTTCTGGCATGCTCTTAGGAAGAGGAATTGGAGCTTTTGCTGTGCCCTTGTTGCTGATCTCAACAAGCTGATCTCTGTTCTCCTCATCTGGTGCACTGGATTCTTCCACATTCTCCTCTCTGCTTACACAATCCTCTTCCCTGGCATTTGCAGTGTCCTTTGATGCTAAGCCTTCCTTAAGCTTCTTGTTTGGAGGCAACGGAGGAGACATTTTATGTTCCTGATCAGGAACACTGTTCTCTGCATCATGGTTTTCTTTTGTGCCAGAAGGTTTTGTGGGTGGCATAGGTGGCTTTGGAGTTTCTTTCTGAGGTGGCGGATTGTCATTTTCATTGACAGTGGAGTCAAAGTTTGGTGGTCCATTGTCTACTATATCCAGATCTAGTCGCAGGATACCATCTGATGTAGACTTGGCAGCCTAAAACATAAGAGAGAACTTTATCAATTTCTATTCCATCAATCCCCTGCTCAATCCTTTAACTTCAAGGAATTGCTATGGATACAGTGGTACAAACACTTGCAGCATACAACTTTAGCTGTAAGGAGAAGGTGAGGGATTACTGTTTTGCACATCCAACCCCTATTTATACTCACATCTGTCGAAACTGCCAGGAGAATCTGACTGATAACAAAAACGGCGCTCTTAAGAGCAGCTGCTTCTGCAGTTCAAGAGCAATTCACAGAGCTTGTGCTGCTTCTATGCAGCATCACCCTGTAATACCCCCTCACAGCAGTAGCATTTATTTAGTAAGTGAAAGCCAATGAAATCTGCAATGCCCAAATTTAATGAGCTGTGATAAACCAAAACATTTTACCTGACAAAGAAGAAAATAGATCAAGTCATGTACCATACAGCAAATGTTGAGTGCATCAAATGAAGATCTCCTATCCCTCTGCCTAGCCCACTTTTTCTACAGACCAGCATGCTCTGTGAATGCTATGGGTGGTTTTGCTGCTGAATTATTTCCTGCCTGATGGTGCAGCAGCTTGCACAAGAATAACAAACCCAAGAGCCACAAGCAGTCAAAAATTAGGACCAAAGCATAGAATTTATTTTAATACTTTCTTTGAGCAGAGCATCTCAAAACCTGCTCCACACTCTCATTTCTGTTTTCTTGTCGATGTTAAGCAGTCAGCTCTGACTGATTTGAGTTCTTCACCCTGTAGTAGCTGGATCCCTCTACCCCCCTCATTTACTGTGTGCTTACCCAAAGCACTGCTGCTTTCTGCTTTTGGAACTGAAGAATTTTCCATGTGACCATATAAAACAACTTGTCAGCATACACTGAGATTGCTTGGCCAGAGGTTCTATTGTAACACCATTGCCTTCTCACTCTCTCTCAGCCTGATGCCATTGCTGCCATGCTGGGGCAGCTAAAACTAGCTGGTTACACCTCCTGCAAACCACAGGCTGCCTGCAAACTTCTCTAGCAGGGGGATATCCTAAAAAGGGTGGATGTGGTAAACACACTGCAGGATGTGAGCTTAGTGCACTGGACGGAGAGATGCAGTGACAGTTCCTGTGTGAGGGAACCCAATGCTGCACCAAACTGCAACTAGAGCCAGAGTCCTGCAGTGCAGAGTTTAGGTAAAGTTTCTCTTGCCTTTCCAGCCCTTAACAGAGAGAGAGAGACAGGCATGCTGCATCCTGGCTGCTCCGTCCTGACCCGTCCTTACCTGGCCTGCTTTGGCACTGAAAATATTCATTCATCCCATTTCTCTCACAATGCTGCAGCCAGCAACTCTCATTCTCATCTTTCTGCAGGCTCTATTCTCTCTCCTTGTTACTGCTTTTGAATTTGGAAGCCAGTTTTTCTCAAATTTGGCTGAAAGTGAGAGCACTTACAGATATTTATGTTTGAGGTATCTCATGAAAATAGGGAGCTGAAGGGCAGAGAGGGCTTATCAGTGCCTAGGGAAAGGCATCCTGCTTTGCTGAACCCATTTTACGCATCAGAGGATCCACACTTCATTACTTCTGCAACTTCTGTCATGTTTTGCTCTGTTGTTTTCTGAAGGGATGGATGGGAACCTGTGATTCATTCCTATGCATACCTCCAGAAGACACACTCTCCCTCCATTTCTATGCAAAGTGAAAAATCTTGGGGCATCTCATTTCCTGCTCTAGGGCCATCTGAGTGCTGTGCAGACACATATGTCAGAGTCTAGGAAGTCTGAAGAAAGAAGGTTTGATTTAGAAACGTTCGGTGGTTTAGATTAATGTTCTGCTAAAATATCAATCTGTCTGTGGAAGCTTTTTCATAAATCACAGGAATCAAGCATTCATAAGAACCTCTCCCACTGAAATGAGCTGCAGGTTTATTTTGCAGTGTTATTTCTTTCCCTTTTTTTTTTTAAGTGACAGATCCAGAAAATCGGTTAAGGGTAGACAGGCTAGTCTATAAAACTGCCTGGGAAAATAATGTATTCTGTTTCAGAGCTAAGGAAGGATTTGTAAACCTGAAAGCTTGTCTGTTTTTTCCAGTTAGTTTAATAAGAAATACAGCTTTTCCCCACAGACCGTGCAGTTCTTGTATCTTTACACCACTGTGGCTACAAAATCATCACTTCTTTGCAAATAAATATAGCAGCTTCGGTCTCTTCTGATTAAAATGAAACTATAAAGGCTCTCACCAGACAGCGAAGCAGCTCATGAGTTATGGGAAGCTAAATATATTGTAACACGTCGCAGCAGCTACAGATCTATGGGTTAACTTGGAGATTAGTTAAAGAGGTGGGGGCACTGTGTTTCCCAGGGGAAGCCATTTCCCTCGTGAGCTTTCTCTGGGTGTCTGCACCTGGGTTTTCCTGAGGGTTTGCCTGTAGCTGGAAAGAGCAGTGTGCTGGGGTACAGCTGGTCCCAGCTGGGGGGGTGGCTCTGTCCCCATGGGATGTACCTACCTCCTTGAGGTGGCTTCTTGTGGGTGGCCTGCGACCATGGGCCACTTTCACTCTGTCCCGAGTTACATGGTCCAAGGAAAGGCTCTCATCTACTTTCACCTTTAGAAGGAAGGGAAACAGAAAAGGAAGAAGGTCGTTACTTTCTCACAATCCATCTATAATATTCTCACTGTCACGCATGAAGGGATACAGCATTTGGATCCAGGGAAGGTTTTTGAATATTTTCCCTTAGTTCCAGCTTGCCTGAAAAGTCCTGTGTGTATGTGATGGATATTTAAGGTATCTTTAGCGCATGTTTATCTAAAAGCGTATGTTTATCTAAAAGGCACTCTACATCAAAGCACCCAAACCTCAGAGGTCTGCAATCACTAGCCTCCCCTCTACTGAATGGGCAGGTAAGAGAAGGACACAGGAGGGCTTTGTTGTCCCCACCGCAGCCTGAGCTCCAAAACTGCTGTTGCCATCTTAGAGGTGAAAGCCCATTAATAACTGTGACCTGACGGTGAACTGTATCAGCAGTTCTTCGTAATAGACCTTCCCTTGTACAGCTCTAATGGCTGCAGGAAGCTGAATAGAAGGTGTGAGCAGTGACCTGGATTAATTGCAACCGTAGCTGAATTAACAAATTTATTTCCTGGAATCAGAGGAGAAATCCACTGCCTCCCACGTGTGAGCAGGGAGGAATCACAGAACGGTTAAGGTTGGAAGGGACCTCTGGAGGTCACCTGCTCTAAACTGCCCATCAAGCAGGACCACCTAGAGCTCCTCTGAAGATCTTCAAGGAGATTTCCGAGGAAGAAGACTCCATAGCTTCTCTGGGCAGTCTAATAGGCTGAAGAAAAGTAAATCCAAGCCAGTTGAGGGCCTGACCCATTAGCTTGTGCCTAGCCTGTGCAGAAACATTTTAAATCTGAAATCTGATCTTTAGCGGAATGAACAAGAATTAAAGTCTAGCTCTGTCCTGGATCCTCATCAAGAGCACTGTCTCCAGGCGAAGGGGGAGGGAGGTGACCCCAGACCTCACCACACCATGCTGGGGAGGGGGCTGTGGGCTTTGCTGGTCACTGCCCTGCTACTGCAGGCAGCTCTCAGTCTGTGTCAATGGCTCCAGCAAGGGCTGAGCAGCATTGTGTTAGAGGACATCGCATCTCCTACCCGCTGTAACGTGAGAGCAGACCTGGCTGCTCAGCTCATTGCTGCTCTGCTTTGTAATGCCTTCTCAAGCTGCACACAGCTGCTCCCTGTAATTACACATGCTGCTCCCTCCTTGGTCCAAGGGCTCCAGGTACCATTAAAAACCTGATGTGGGATGTGATTTGCCTAGGTGAAAAAGGAGCATGTTCCAGTCTCTCCTCCAGCTTTTGCCCTGTCCTGAATAAAAGCAAAGCCTAAGCTCTCAGAGTTTGCATTCTCGAGCACCGCCAAAAGAACTTAGCTGTTTTCTCATAACTTTTACTCACTGCTTTGGTTTCCTTTGCTAAACAGATCTTGCTGATTTCTTAGTCTCCTAGTTAATCCTGCCTAATTCTTCATGTCATTCCTGTAATCGATGGTTTTGTGCACTTCCTTTCAGTTACAAAAACAACTAAAGAATACATACTGCTCTTTCAGTTTAATTAGAGAATGATTACAAGGTAACCAGGATCAGGGCAAAGTTAGTCAGGCTTGAGAATGTGCAGTTTTCATCCTTGCCTCTGCACACCAGAATGAGTGGGGAACTGGGGTGTGCTGGGGCCAGTGGAGAGAAAGGCAGGGAGAGTGCATGGGCTGAGAAACCTTAGAGTAACTTTCCACTGGACTTCTCTCCAGCCTGAAGCAAGAATAGCTGGTGGACTGAGTCACTGCAGATTTTTCCAGTCTTGAAGACTGTCCTAACCAAATACCTCAATTTCCAGGCTGTTTGGTGCTGGGCATCATGACAGTGTGGGGAAGACAAGTCCTTACAGATGCAGCCAGTCGCATCCTCCAGGACAGGGGAACACCATGTCACCAAAAGCCACTGATCAGACCATCTCCCACTGACTTTGGTGAGCTCTAGTGTGCCGTGGGTCTCTCAGTGAGATGTTAGCTCTTGCAGCACTGACGATGTCTCTGTACCGTCTACTTATCCTACTGTGTCTGCTTCTAACCCTACCAGAAAGGGTTAGAAAACACCTCTTTACATGATCTAGCCTCCTGGGCTGGGAACTGGAGGCACTAAAAACTCCTAGGATGCAACTTGGCCTGCCTTGCATCCAGCTGTGAATGGGCTTTCTTTCCTTTGGCAGTGCCTGGCATTCAGGAAGGACAGGGAGCCTGGGGTCTCAGACAAGTTCTGTTGCTAGCTAAATAAGCAATGAATGAGAACTGACACAGAAGTACATGAGTTTGAAAACAGCATCTCTTACCTCATCAAATATTTTGTTTTTGCCTCTATTGATGCCCTCATTCAGGGCTTTTATCCACGATTCCTTTTCTTCCAAAGTTGCAGCTTGAAATTTGATATCATGAACCTGCAAGAGCAGAGAGAGAATTGCCTAAGCATTATTTGTCAAGAACAGAGAGGCAGCGTTCTGCATTCTGTATATCCCTTCAGTTTTTATATAACATCCAGTTCCAGTCTGTGTTTAAAGTACAGATTCCTTTGCACTTTGGCAAGTACTTCCCTTCACAGCTCCTGTGAACAGAATTTTGTTATGCTGAGCTGTTTGCTGCTGTCGTTCTATTTTTGCAATTAGCAATTAAAGTAGTAAGTAAGTTATGAGCTTCTTATTTCTGTAAAATCTATGGATTAGCTCTTATAGCAGCAGAAAGTTGTTTGTACAGTGAATGGTCAAACTGCATGCACAAATCAGACTGAGAGTCCAAGTTGTTTTGTGGCAGTTCAGATGCTATCAGCTACTTTATGTCCAACTTCACCACAGGCTGCAAGTAGGAAACCCACATGCCATAGCTTCTGCCTTCCTCCCTGTTCCTGTGGCTCTGCAGAACAGAGCCAATACAGGAATCAGGACTCTGACCTTGGCTGCACCAACCCTGCTTCAACTGCACACAGACACGATGTGGCTAAGAGCAGTGTAAATGAAAAAATTAACAATATCTTTTTCTGCTTGCAAATGAAAAAAATAAAAGCGGATTCTACAGATGTACATTTTCTGGGGTCTGAGCAGCTGTCCTAAGAATACAGAACAATCTTAGGCCATAGAAGAGACAGCTGGTAAAAAAGCACAGGACAAAAATGAGGACGGGAGCAATGGATCGTATGGCTGTCCCTCCATTCAACCAGCTCTGCCTTCCTCCAGAGTCATCCCAGAGCTGTGCTCAATGTTTTAATCTCTAATTGACCACAGCAGGAACGATGCTATTTATTTTTCTGCTGTGTGCTATTGTGTAGTTTTGCCCCAAAGTACACTTCAGGTGAGAAAAATACCATCTTCATATTACAGGTTACTGTATGGCAGACTAGCTTGGATCCACATAGCTCCACTGAATCCAAATAGCTGCAATCTGCACTGTACAGACACAGATAAATGCTCTCGTGCTAAAGAACATCATGAAAGCTACAAAATCAAGCACTCAAAAAAACTGAACAATCCCAAAGTTGCCTAGGCAATCTTAACCCAGCCACTACACAAGTTCATCATGTGTCTATCCCTAATGACAGAGGTGGAGCTTCCTACTGAGCTATCTCATGGTGTGTTGTATGGGTCAATATTGATGGCACTGTGCTGCAGCCTTGCCCTGAAGACAGAATTACCAATTCCACTGATGATCTCTTCTTCACTGCTTATCACTACAATATCTGAGGGCTTCACAAATTACTTTTCAGAACAATTATCCACATCTTACATATGGGGAGGTGAGTTACATAGAGTCTTACCTAAACCACATACTAATAGAGTCTCAGTTAAAATATTTTTTTTCCAGGTATTTAACATCCTACAGCCATTTGTACTGCCTTCAAGACCAGCTGCAGTCTCAGCCTTTTTGTAAATCAGGCCCCACATTCTGAAATCACAACAGGGTCAGAACATCCAGGCTATACAAAATGAGGGTGACAAAGCTAGTGCTCTTAGCAGCTTCCTGTTTTGTTTATGGTACAATGAGGCAGCAACTGTTTGGGGTTTCAGCAACTTCTGAAATCTTACATCCCTATACTCTAGGCCTCCCAGTAGGGATGCTCTCCTGACCCCTACAGTACCATTAAAAATTCCGTACATCTAAAGCCTGATCTCCATACGCTCACTCTGGCTATTTAGTTAGGAACCTACTGCCCTTCCTTTCTGCATTTATTGCTTGCTGCAGTGCCAAGGTTTTATACCTGCACACCACAGCAACAAAGTTCAAGACCCTTGTAACCAGCATAGCCAGCACGGAGGTAAGAAGCATTTTTGGGAGGGTGTATTTGTTCAATTAGTTTGCACATAAGGTGATGGGGCCAAATGTCTTCTTAAGAGCCCAGAGAAGAGGCTAGGGCCTGAACCACAGCACTCTGGAAAAATGGTTCTTTGTCTGGGGCGCAGAGGGATCACACTAACCAGGGAATCTAAAGAAGGCAAGGCTCTAAAACATTGAGACAGCCAGGTTTTGTTTTAGCCCAAGCAGGCCTGTTTTTGTGTGTGCTTGAAAACTTTTTTGTTTGGAAATGATTTCACCCCAAAGTTTTGTGATTACAGAAGCATCTGAGAAAGCTCTACTTGTGAGCAGCTGTGCTGTTGCACTGCCTGGCAAAGACCTGGCATCCTGCACCAGGGTTTAGAAACGTAAATGGTGTTCAAGGGAAGGATTCCTGTCTTACTTCAAGCTTCCTCTTCTAATGCCACTTCCTGTGCCTTATTCTCTGCCCAGGACAAAAGCCGCTGACCTCCCAGAGCTGGGACTGTGACAAAGTGCTGCTGTCAGCTCGCGACTGCGCAGCAGGGCAGAGTGAGGGCCCTGGGGAATTGCTGGTCATTACTGAGAAGCTGAGGTGTCCCTCCGGCATGCCCTATTTAATGCTGACCAACTGCTGCAGCCACCGATCACAGACCAAGTGGACAGCAGGGGGAGGGGAAAACGTGGGGAGATGCTCCAAAGGCAGCAGCAAAGAGCCACTGCACTCAGTTTCCTTTCTACAATAACATTTTTTTCCTTTTTAGCATAATATCCACAGATAGTAAGGAAAAATCAGGCTGCTGGAGCTCTGAGACTGGCACTTGGGATGCTGCCATACAGAGCCTCATTGTTTCCTTGCAGTGCACTGCTTGTCTGCCTCCCTCTGTAGCTCATGTCCTCCACCACAGGCACTGGGGTGAGAAGGTTTGCCCATATTGGGATGGAAGCTTGCTATAAAGCTGAGGAAATAGAGGAACAAGCCACAGTTGTTGTTCTCAGTTCTGCTTGCCACTGTGGTTCTGTAGACTAGAGTGAGATAAGGAACAAATTAATTTACTTTGTCCTTATTTTTATTCATCTAAGTATTCAGATATCAGAGGACACACAGCTTTAGGCAGGGTCTGATCTCCAGCAGCAATTTTGGGTAGAGAGTCAGTGATACCAAGCCTAAAGCCAGAGGGCAGGAAGCAGGGCAGCCCATCTGCCTTCCTACCTGCTAAGCCAGCTGAGACTGAGTCATGACATAAACAACTGCCTGGTGTGCCAGGAAAAGCTGTCACGACTGAACCTAATGTGATAGTGACCACTGTGAGCCATGAATACAGTGTACGCAATTTACTGTAAGTGAGTTCAGAGCACAGCGCAGCCAGTCAGTTCCTGCTGAATCACTGGCTGCATGTCATGCAATAAAAGAGGCTCCCACTCTGGTCACTGCCCGTGACGACAGTGAGCACATCTCTCTGACTGCCCTGTGTCTTCTCAGACATCAGTCTTCTGCAAGCAGAGACAGCCTCGTGGCTATGCTGACCCCATTATCCAGGGCCACCTCTAAGTGATTTATCTGACAAGTCTGGGGAACCAAAAAGCTGCAGTTTATGACATTTACCAATACAAGCTCTTTGTTGAGCTCTTCTGCTTGATGTTACCAATCTGTCAAGAGGTGAGTGACAGGAATCTGCGTATTCTCAGCCATTTCAGTGCAAAGCTTCAGCTGCTGGCAGGAGTAGGCTAAACTGGACTGTGAACTGCTTGTGTTCTGCTGGCTGAGGTGTGGGAACAGATTCTCCTCTGCTGGCTTTTGTCACTGGATGGTCACCTCCAGCAGATGCCAGAGCACAGCTGGGTCAGTAACTACCCAGGGTGCAGCAGAGGATATCTGCCAGATGTGAGGTCATCTCCTGAATCTGGGTCCTCGTCAGGTTGGATCACAGAGGAAAAAGTGGAAGCAAGGGGACAATCAATTAGAGGATTCTTGTTGGGTTTTTTTTTTTTTACAGCTGAACCAAGAGCTGCCTCTTCCTTGGGAATAATGCAGCATCTCTGCCACGTTCAGCCTGGGCAGACTCCTGGAGCAGACCCCTCAGAGCACAAGCAAATGTGCTCCACTGGGATCTCTGTCAGCTTCCCAGCTTGGGCCCCTGCTGAAGGGAGCCACAGGTACCTCCAAAGTTGACCGAAGGGAAAAAAAAAAAACGTACTGAAAATTTCCACAAGTGCTGGGGCAGGACATGTGGGAAGCTGCAGCACTTGCTGGTCCCATACTGCCACCCTCTTACTTCCCATTCTTCATCCTGGTAGCTGAAGGCTTTCAAACCTGATGAATACCAGACTTGTACCAATCTCTGGAGTCTCTAGGCAGCTTACACGAGAAGACATGGTTTATGCTGCTCTTTGCATCATGAGTACGTTTAAGGTCTCCAAGCCAAGGTTGCTGCCCCTTCTTATAAATTCTCTGCTCAGCTCTCTCTGTTCAGCAATTTTCATTTAATTAGTGTGACTGGCGTGAAGCATTTGAGATTTCTAAGCAGAATGGGTCTTCTGCACACTTCCAACTTCCTTTGCTGAAGAACCAAAGCACTGGGGACAGCACTTTGTTTCAGTTCCACACAAGGAAGCTGTCCAGCGCAGGCGTGTGACACGCTCATATTGTGGCTTCACAAAAGTGTTATCTTGTGACCTGGGCTAGCAAAATCTGGGGTATTGCCATCAAAGAGCAGTGCTTAGCAAGGCAACTTACTTATTTGGGTGCAACTGTAGCCACAGAGCTGTTTTAACTGATGGATTCACTGTGAGCGGAGCTACACTGAGCTCACAGTTCCTTCAGACTCTGGGAAGGGTCTGAACAGTTTCTGTTTTATTGTTTGCTCTTTCCAAGTGTCCTTTGCTCTTCAGAAACATCCCATCAAGTATTTAAACCTGGATTCCCCCAAAGTTAAACTTGGATCCCTGCTTTCTACAGTGACATTTCTATTTGCACGCTGGAATAGAAATGGCCTTTCCTGGCCATTTTTCTGCATTCTCCAGTGCTGTGCTCAGGATAAGGGGCAAAGAAAACTAGCGAAACATAGAAGGGGCTTGGCGAGGCACTTCACAGGGTGACTTTAAGCTGTAGTGCAAGCTGCAGATGGCAGCTAGTCTCCCAAAAGGAAAATGTTGAGCAGATATCTATTGCCACAGCTGCAATTCCAAAACAGAAGAAGGACAGTTGTGTACGTTGGCCTCCTAATTGAAGTTTGTTCTAACATCTGCAAAAGCATGTTGCGTGTCAACACCCTCACCAGACTCCCAGCCAAAAGGAGGGTGGGAGGGGAGCTACGAACAGGGAACTTTTCATTTATAAAAGCCTTCCCTTTTACCAAAAGAGCCTTATGAAAAGTGGCCGCTATCTAGGTTTCCATTTAATCATTGGCATGAGAACCAGGGAAGCTGTAAACTTGCCAGGATGCCAAAAGGATGAAGTTTCCCTTTTAGTGCAGAATTTGGGCATATCTTTCTTCTAGCAAGAAACAAAAGGTTTAGGAACACATCCCACACTCTTTGTTGATTCATGCAGAAATATACAGCTATTATACACTTTGCCTATGTAATATACTTGCAAATAATTATTAATTCCTACTGTGCCTCCATCTCTGCTCACACACGCTATTATTTGCCTCCCTGGGAGTAGGTGTGCACACACAAGGTAGCCAGAAGCATCCAGCAGGGGCAGTTGTTGTGGTCCCGTCTCCCTCTAGAAAATGCACCAAGCCTGCCAAGGTTAGGCATTTTTGATCTAAAATTGACATGATTTGTGATTAATGAAGTTACAAAACAAACATTAAACCTCCAGCCAAACTGGAGAGACTCACTGCTCTGTATCCAGTGCTGAGCAGGAGCTCTCTAGCAGAGGGCTCAAATTCCAGGCTACCATAACCTTGGTGTGTTGCGCTTAATATCACTTTTCTTCCTGACGCAGACTGGGCCTACTTGCAAAACAAACATCATTCCCCTTCTCTCTCCACCCCAACCCCAGTCCAAGTGAATGCTTTGGGGCACGGGGACTATCCTTGTTTTGTTGTTGTGAATGAAGTTTAGCACAAAGATGCTCTGAACTCAGCTGGGGTCTTGAGGCACCGTTATACAAATAAACACGAAGTGAATGAAGTGAAAGAATAAGCAGCAATGACAGCAAGGACTAAACAGTCTCCATTTATTCAAACAAAATGGAGATGAGGAAATGCATGCAAGCTGATATTTTTGGCTGTTCATATTCTTATGGAAATTAATATGTTTTTCGTCCCATAACAACCTCTCGGATCTGCGTGGAAAAATTTAGTAAGATCTTTTAAGCCAATAAAATCACATTGAAATTAGAATGTAAGTCAAAGTGAGTTATTTAAGAGCAACAACAGAAACATCTTAGCCCAGAAAGATGCTGATACACTGTCAGCAGCAATGAAGAAAATCTTCCCAAGTGTGTGCAGTGATGATGAACATATATTGGCCTATATATAAGATAAAAGTGCTTCCTTGCATACAGTTGTGCTCAGGTGGATATAGAACTCCTTTGCAACATCAGCCTGGTTATTAAGTTCTGTGTACAACTTAGGTGCACAGCCACCTAAGGTTGCAGAGTTTCATTAAATCTCCAAAATAGATCTTCTTCTAGGAACTGTTTGGCTGCAAGAAACTTTGCAGTTACTTTGCAGTTACTTGGAGATTCTCATATGAGCATGTCCAAGGATAGGAACCGTCCCAGTACATGGATTGGGATCACTGACTGCACTGGAACTTTGGCAAAGCTACAGCACGCACAGCTGAGGCAGGGATACTTCCTCACTCAGGACACACTGAACAGCAGGGTAGGGTCTCACACCACTGCTCAAGGAGTACTGGGAGAAAGAAAATGATAAAGCAGGAAAATATCAAGAGGAAAATGTTCTTGTAAATCGAGTACAAGGAAGATCCTTTTCCCAACACAAGAATAAAGTCTACAGGACAGTAATGTTTGTCTCTGTACATCCTAGACCATTCACAAACGTAGGCAATTTCTCCTAACTGCCAAACAAGTGAATTTCAGAGCTTTTTGTCTGCTGCCTGGGGACTCATTTTGAAGTTAGCAGAATTGAGGGTGAAGAGAAAGCAATCCTACCTTCTTACCCGGGGAGCGGATTAAAATGAAACGGTTTTTCTTTTTTAGTAGTGCACGTAGTTCCTGGCACTTGTCATAACTCTCCAGTTCCACTGTTTCTATGCATTTCTGTTCATCCTGCAGAGAGGGAATGAAACATTATTATGAATAGGAGTCACTGAAATCAATCACATACCATCAACCTCTGCATGTGTTCCCTTTGCATCTGTCTAAAAGCTCTTCTGCCTTAAAAATAAATCTGCATGCAGACAGCAAGCCCCCACAGATCAGGTTGGTATCTCACACTCAAGAAAGCATGAAGGTCTCTAAGCTATGGGCTGATTTGTGGCTACTGGTTCTCAGTAGCTGAGCAAATAACACAGTGTGGACAAGAATATCAGCCTTTTCCATGTCTGGTGGCTCCTTCCAAGGATCCATAGTCAGATGCAAGGTTAAGAAGGATTTTGCCAAGCTACAGGCTGGAACTGTCCTGCCAGTCCTGCTGCATGGATTCTTGTTGATCTATCCGACAAGTAACACACCACACTTTCATAAGGTTTCCTGACATGATCTCAAAGCCCCTCCAAGTTCCCATGTAGCCTGGCAAAATCACCTTCTTCCTGCAGTGAAGCCAATGTTATTCTGCTTTTTCACAGGGAAGAAGAATGGAGCAGGCATCACAACTGCTGAGCCCTGCAGGAAGCCAGTGGTGGATGTGGGCTGAGCTGAGCCCTGCCGGCACGCTAAGCCAGGCAGCCTGGCCATCCTGTGAGCAAGGTTGGTGGCAGCCACGTGTGACTGTGACATACTTCTCTCACAGCCATGCTCTGAGCTGTCAGAATGCCTAGGACTGGAAACGCAGCCCCATACAGCCAGCACAACTGTCGGGGCCAAGGTCTCATTGGGGAATATTTATCTCTGGTGTATCTGCACTGATGACTGCAGGCCGTGAACTTGGCTCATTTCTCCCAATAACATAACTAAAATTCCACACGTGGTACATGGCTCAGTTCAGCTGCAGAGCACCATCCCTAATAGGAATTGCAGCGTAGCGCCAGGCAGATAATATTATTCATGTCTCAGAAAAGACCAAAACTCCCTTTTGCTACATATTACATAAATAAGCAGTGAGAATTGCCAAGCAGTTCTTGCCAATAAAGTGCTTTAGTCAGCCTGCCTCGTGAAACTCTCTGTTACCATCCTAAATTAAAACCTCCAGCCACGACCGTCCCCAGGTCTGACTCTGCTCATATTTGTAGTCTTATGAGTTTGTATTTAGCAATTCTGTAGCAGCAAGGGGGTGTGGGGTGAGGAAATGTGTCGTAGCCAGGAAGTTACTGCGTGGCTGGAGGCAGGGAATGGAGAGTTCAGAGGGAAGTGGGCTGCGGGGAATTTCCTTCGCTTACCACTTGACATTTAAGTCACTGTGCAGAGCCCAGGCTGCATTCAGTTTTTTTTAATCCTCTGATCTGGAGATGGGGGCACAGCAGGGCCAATGTGAGGATGCAGAGCAAGTTCTAAGCCACAGAGGGCTGTCTGGATCTAATTTAGGTTTATTATTGTTATGGCATTACTGTTTATTTCGTTTAACACTGAGTAGGTGAATGTGACCAGAGAACTGGGAAGAAGTATATTAGGAGGAGGAGATTAATCTGCCCAAACCTAAAACCTCACAGATAAAATCCTGCTGACATTACTGAGCCCTTTAAAGGCTCCTGCTGCCTGGTTTTGCAATGTCACTGCAAAAACTGGAAATAATAACCCCTCAGCAGCCAACAAATCAGAGAGAAGGGTGAGGTCAATGATACATGCCTAGGGGACGGTGATCTCATCCTGGCCTTGGGTAGGTGACCACCCACATCTCAGTACTGCCACACGACTGTTGTGGTCACCACCTCCTATGGGAAAGTTTGCTGAGCTTGGGGTATAAATGTAGGTGACTTGGCTGGACACTGATGAGAGATCTGCACAGAGTCCCCTGGCAACCCTACACATCCTTGGAGAGCAGCTCTGCCTCCAGCAGAGCACAGTGGCTCTGTGCCACCACCCTTGTCCACGCCTTCCTGCTTGCCTCTTGAACAGGAAACTTCTCTCAGATCCTGTGCAAGCCATCTTCCTTATCCTAAGAACTGCCATGGGCAGTGATGAAGCTGGAGGACAAAGAGGACACTGCAGGTTGAGCAGCTCTGCTATGCTGTCTTTTGACTTTCAGCTGCCCCTTTTCCCCTGGGAGGCTTTGGGATAAAGGCAGAGAGAATAGGGACATGCAGGGTCCTGCCTCCCAAGGGCAGTGATTTGATTTTGCTCCTTCATCTCAGAGACTTGGAGCTTCTCAAGTTATCCTCTTCAAGGAAGGCAGGGAAAAGAGCAGCCAGAGAAAAAAGAAAACCCCATGTATGAGGTAAGGGAAAAGACTGAAGTTCAGGCAGTAACAAAATGGGATTTGTGTCTCTGTTTTATCCTTGGCAAGTGGCCAGCCCCTCTGTGTGCCTACCTGGTCACAAAGAAATCTTTTATGCCTCTTCTGCATGACTCAGATAAAGACCAAAGGGCCTGACCCTCCCAAAAGTCTCCAGGTCCCTCCAACCTCCTGGGACCTGAAGAATGCTCAGCATCAGGCAGAGACAAGATTGCCATCAGAGCCCTGCCCCTACAAACTGGTGTCAGACACAAGCTCCTGCTGCATTTTGCCTGTAGTATCCCAAGGAAGTGAAAACCTTTTCTACTGCACTAAGACACAAAGGCTGGATTGAGCGGCCTGAATCCCCTCGCCCCCCCACTCAGTAGTCTCTCCTCCCAGCAAAGCATGATGCTGCATCTGCTGCCCATCTCCACGCCTCTCCCATGGCTACAGACATGCCCAGGGAACAGGGAATTCCCTTGAGGCTTTCTTCCCTCTATAGATTTTAGTGCTTGTTTTTTAAATTGCTTTTGTATTTGCAGTAAGGGACAATCGATAAGACACTTAAAATCCTGGTACAGAAAATCCTACACTCATGATTTAATGCAGAAAAACAATACCATTAGCTGTTCATGGAACACACACATGCTACTTAAACATGTATGTGTTTGTAAGCATTTCAATGCCAGGCCCTGCGGGAGAACATTACTAAATACCTGTACATATTAATGCCTATGCTTAACCAAGGAATCATCATACTTGGCAAAGCTAGAATTTTCTGAATGAAATGTTGATAAAAAGGGAAAATAGAACAGATAAAATTTTTACTTATCTGAAAATAAAATTTCCAACAAAGACTGCATCACCAATACATACTAATGGTCTGTGAGCCTCCATTCTCTGTACAATGCCTGGAATGCTTGAAATAAGAATCCTCTTTTCCATCTGAGGATGTCAAAGCATAGTGATAAATCACATTTGGATATACATTGCTACCACTTTACCAGTGCAGAAGTGCAGACATCAGCTGCACTGCTGAGGTCACACAGGAAGCCAAAGGCCTCGTGGAACCTCTGCTCCCTAGAAGACATCTTGCTCGGTACATTTTTGCCCTGTCATATAGCACACTTAAAAAAAAAAAAAAAAAAAAAAAAAAAAGAAAAGAAAGAAAGAATCAAAAAAAGAGGAAAAAAAAAAAGTTAAAATCAAAAAGACTGACTCTCTCTAATCCATGGAGTGATGGCATGGATTTGTTTGGCCTCTTTGCACAGGACTGCCTGTTCCGCAGATGCCCTCTGTAGTTCTGTGGGCTTAGTTTTTATTCCAGCAAGAATATGCAGAGACAGTAAATATCACTACAAAATGACCTGCCTATTTGGTTCTTTTTGGGCTTGTGTACAATATGCCTGTCACTGAGATGCATCAGTAATTTCCTTGGGATCTGAATGCCACAGAGCTGTATGTATTTGCATAGGTGCATCTCTCCTGACATTTGAGTATGTAATAAGTGCCTTATACATACATCTTTCTGAACTGAGTCTTTATACTGATATTGATATAAATCGAGGTTTATATCAGGGTGCACCTGCAGGGCCCTGTAGATGGAGCCTCATCTGATAACAAGGAATACATTGCATCAGCTGGATGAAACCTGCAGCGCAGAGATGCACAGCTTTCACCCACCATCTGCTGCAAGTAATACAATAGCCATTTGCAATTTGCCTTCAGGAGGTAGCTATGCTTTAAAACAGATGAACAGATGCAATATAGGGAACCTGCTTCCAAGGTAGGTCAGAGGCACATTCCAGGAGATTTCTATTGATGATGCTAAAATACAGTGTTTGTGTTACGCTTAGGCTGTACTTAAAATGTTATTGCCAGCATCTTTTGTTGGCCTTCTGTGCTGTTATTCTGCACATACAAACTTCAGAGACAAGTGCAGCTGCCAGCCCTGTGCAATTGCATAAACAAGTGTGCCTGCATATGGAACAACTGCTGAAGGCAATGTTAACACCTCTTCAGGAAGGGCTCCAACACACCAGGGACTGATAAAAGGACAGCATGTCCAAGTCACCAGCTCATTTCATGGAAATCGGATGGGTTTCAATAAGCAGACTCTCAACTTGCCCTCGGACATGGAAGCTGGGGCCTCCCTCCCACATAACTACTTTGGTCTAACTTAGCTTGTATTTCTGTTAGCCAATATTTTATCTCCTTGCTTTTTGAGGGCTGTTAACCTCCTGTTCAGCAAGCACTGAATAATCCCATTTAAAAATCTCTCTTCTTAAGAGCCAAAAAATGCAGATCGAGATAAGGAAATAGAAGCCACCAGAGCATGCTGCACCACAGACTCTCCTTTGACACTGGGCAAGTCACTTCTCATCTCAGAAACTTCCCCAGTTGTGAGACAGAGACAGCAACACTGCCCTAACTCACGCTACTGGAAGATAAATACAGTAATAAACATGAACTACAATTCTGCAGTAACAGGACCCCTCCTGAGTACAGAAAATTGCCATTTCCTTCGGTTTCCTTGTTGTAAGTCTGCACAATCACATGCTATCCTATTGTGCTACCAGATAATTTTGTAGCAATTTCCTCTCCTGAGATATCTGACTTCACTATAAGCTAGTTTTAATAGCCTATAGATATTAACATGATCCCTTATTTACAATAATGGGGCCTTGTAGCTACTGCAGCTTACAGATGCAATTTATTACAGGATGTTACCACAATCCGCAGGCTACCAGAAAACATTATGTCTGGTTGTTACAAATGCCATTTTCCTTGTTGAGATAGTAAAATAACTCCTTAAACGATCAGGATTTTTCCTTCTTCTGAATGTCTGTGAAAATTAATCTTACTTTAAAAGCTTCCTTTTCCCTTGTGGTAATAAGAACTTTCATGTATCTTGTTTTTAAAGGCATGCTCTTTTAAAAAAAACATCAACAACAACAAAAAAAACATGTCATGTTTATAGATTTGAATCTGTTTGTTCCTGTAGCTTCAGCTGGAATCAACAGGTGTCTGGGGCACTCGGATGTGATCTGCAGACAGCCAGCAGTTTGCAGGACAGGCTGTATCTCTGCAGAAGAACTGCAGGTCTCCACACCCCCACCACTCTGCCTGCCTTCCAAGCTCCTCGTTACCTGACCTGACTTCTCATTTCGGTATTCTTGCACTCTTCATGACATTTCAAAACCAAGAACAAACACCTCCTGAAAGCCTTGGGATGTGGGGAGAGCAGAAGGTACTATCATTTAACCCAAAGTGCTCATAACAAGTCTTCCATATTAGGCAATACTATGTTCTTAGAAAAGAGAACCAAACTCTTTTGTCAGTCCTGTTGTTCCTGAAACCATCACAGCAGTGCAACTGCTGACGTGTTTCCCCATTCCTGTTCCCTTGACATGTTGCACAGAAACTGGACGTGCTTTTGTCTTCTAGCGTCCTGATGCCCGTGAATGCCCCAGTCCTCTTGTGCCAGGTGCCACACAAGCACACATACCAGCAGGGCTTAGCCTCAGCTGCCCCTGTCTCAGACCCCTCCAGCTGAGCTTATGTGATCTGCCCACTAATTTATTACACTGGGGACCTCTGAGGACAATCTTACTCTTACAGCCCTTTCAGCCCAACAACAGAGCACCAGACTCAGGGATATTTCACTTTTCATTCTTCTCGCATAAAGATACAGAGCAGATTTGGCTTGGCTCTTACTTATTCCTCATTGGATTAGCAACAGCTCTAAATGAAACTATGAACTTAAGGCATTCCACTTATCTAGGGAAGTTCAGGAAAAGGCTCCCAGGGGTCCTTCTCTTAGCACTAGCTTGCTCAACCAACAGGAAGGGATGAGCCAAACCCAAACTGTGTCTTTGTTTAAGGATAAATCAAGCACTCACAACCTCATCCTGTGCCCATCGCTAAACAAGACCCTGCACAGCCTGGCAGGCAGCGGCTCCAGCTGCTTGTGGGTGCTCAACAGCTGCAGGGCTGCCAGTCGTGCCCTCCAGCAGCAGGTGGGCAGTCAGGCTGCTACAATGCAGTTTTAGCCTTTAAATGCCAAAAACTGTGAGCACATATCCTGCTTCCACCCGAAGTCTTACCCTGTTCACCTTCTCACAGGATGTCCTGCCCTCGTTTTCTTTTTTTTTTTTTTTTTAACAATGGTACTGTCAAAATATTTACTAGCTGAAATATTTATGGTATATAATATACTCTAAAATGCAGCAGCTGTCTCTTCTTCATTTAACCTCTCTGAAAGTATCTACAGAAGTCCTTCTGAAAGGAATGGGCTGGAAAGAGGAGTGAAAATCAAAGGACTATGTCATCAAGGACTTGATCCTGTCCAAGGGGGTTAAGCTGTGAGCATACCTCATCCTCGTAAACCACGAGCTGTGTTTTCCGCAGCTGGACGTAGCGATCCTTCCACAGTCCCAGGAGGCCTCCACTGCTTTTCTTTATCCAGCCAAATTTCTCTGCACTGGGAGCAGGCTTTGGTTTCTCCGAGACCTCCTCCTTTGTATCCTGCAGGACCACCAAGAAAAGCAGAAGGGAGAAGTTAAGTTGAGAGCACCGTCCATCCATTTAATGACAGTCGTTGGAAAAGCCTGCCCAGCAAAGACCACAGCACCCACCATGTGCAGTCCCTCCCCAGCAGCTCACAGGGAGAAAGGCTGGGACCAGACTGGCATATTCCAGAGAACACTTCTGCAAGGGAGAAGAGAGCTCAGGCAGCTCCTGCCTCACAGCCCAGACCTCTGAACAGGGCTGGGGAGTGGGCATGGACCCTGAGGCTGCTACTGCCCTGCATGCAGAATCCAGCACGGCTGCTGCCCTAAGCCTTTCCCAGGAGCAAGCAGAGCCAAATCCCCTTAGAAAAACACCTCAACGAACTCGTGACCCTTAAGAGGAGGCCAACCCCAAATCCTCCAAGCCCTTCCCAGAACCACACTGTTACCCCAGATTTGGCTTTTCTCCCGGGACACAGGACCTGTTGTTGCCTGTAATGGCACTAAGCATAATTTTCACAAAACAAAGGATTCATGACCAAGGCAGAGTCCCAAGCATCCTCAAATGGCTCTGGCTAGCTGCTGATAGGGAAAAATCAAATCAAAACAAATCAGAACGTCTGTAGCTCAAACATCATGTTTCCTACCATGAGGAAATCCCATGTGCATCACAAGGAGTCAGAGCCAGACACTCCCGTGGCCAGAAGGGAGTGGGGATAGGACAAGTGAGTACAGACAGGTTCCAAAAATCCAGAGGAAAGCCTTACTAACAGATCTGTTTTCATGAACCAGACTCCCAGCAAACACACCCTTGGATAGTATTCGGGTGAGCTGTTCCTTAAAGATAGAACTTGCACCCATAATGAGAAGCAAAACAGATTAAATTCACTGTGTACAAACGTTTATTCCAGCCTCCAGCAAGGTCAGGAAGAGGCTCGATGTCTGAAACACAACCAGACTTCCTCAGGTAAAGGTAAATCACACAGAAATGGCCACCAGCCCCAGTGCACTTTGCAGAATGAAGCTGTTTCATGGTGCTGTGCCGTGTTTGACAGGCCCCACGACAGGATGGCAGCACACCAACAACTCTTCCGGGAAATGAGGAGGACTGTGGTTTTTTTAAGCTTGACTTTTTAGCTTGCCAGGAAGTTGCAGTCAGTTGCGATTTGCTCCTTCAGCAAACATCAACCGCTGCACCAATACAGACCTGTCGGTGCATCATCCCTTTTGATGTCATGCTTGGGTAACTGGGCATGGGCTTTGACCTCCCACCTAGCAGTTCTGCTTGGACGTGGCTGCTCCAACACTGACTCCTCACCTGTCTCCCTGTTACTCCCAAATGGGTTGGAGTTTTCTGCTCTGCAGATCAATTTTTATTTTTTCTCTCGACGGCAGAATGGCTGCCTGAAAACACACAGCAAATCTGCCTGTTCATGGCCTCTTTGCTCTGCAGTGTGAAAACCCTCTCCTCTGTGGTTTTACAGTAAAAGTACTCACTATAAAGTTGCAGCACTTCACATCTACTGCTGAAAAAGCAACCCACCCTCGTCACCGCTTTGGTTGGAGGTAATTCTCATGCTTGCACTCCTGCAATCTCACAGCATTCACCAGCTCCCTGACATCTCGGGACAATCTCTTTTCTCCACCCCATCAGGATTTCCACTTCTGGGCAAATCGTCCCTGTCTGTGCCTGAAGCCTGGCTGCTCACCCCCTCTGTTTGTAGCAGGAGTGATGTTTTGATCCACACACAGGGCAGAACACATGCATGGGATGCTCTCCCAACCACGTGGTGCTTCCCATGGTGCTGGCATCCCATGCCTCTGGCTTGTGCAGCCCCTCGATCTGTCAGCAAGGGGAGGTTTGCCAGGGCAGAGCACTGGGAGCAGGACTCAGTGTCCGCTCCATGCTCGCAGCCTGTGATTCCATGACTAAAATTGGAGGGCAGCACAAAGAGATGATTTGTTGTTGTTAATTCAGCTTTCTGTGGGTATTTCTTCTGCTGGAGGCAAGAAATACTAAGATAGCCATTCCAGGATATTCCCAGGCTGGATCTGTGCCTGATGCTAGTGTAAATCCATGGGAATAAACCCACTGACATCAGCCAAGAGAGCCAGCATAACCAAGGGAAGAACTGAGTTATTCTGTCATTGCCCAAACCAGCGGTGCTGGTCCCACAGCTGGCACAAGTCATTGGTGCGATTTATAGCATGTTGGCATTGAAAGTGCAGCACGAGTTGGACTCTCCTTTACCTTCATGTTTTACAGCTCAGCAGATATGTCAAATTAGGGACGTGGGATAGCTTTTCATTTAACAATTAGGCAGTTATTTCTGCCTTCCTTCCCCTGAGTTTAGGGGCCCACAAAACCACATACTTTTTGTGTCTTCTGACAACAGCAGAAGCCAACAGTCGGACTGCGGCGGTGCTTTCACAAGTTGCGCACACTGCACAGGAGCATTTTACTTGGCAAGCAAGTGGTGCAATGGTCCATCCCATACTACAGCATGGATGCATCTCCAGATGCATCTCCAGTTGCGTTCCCAGACCTCAGCTCCTTTCCTACCCCTCCACGTTCACTCCTGACATGTTGTTGGCACTTCACATCTGCATGATGCAGGAGCAATACCAGACACCGCACACATGGATGTGAGACCCGGGAAGCTGCACCGGTGCCCGCTGCCAGGAGGACTCATTTGTGGCTAACAACGGGCTCACAGCCCCCAGCCCGGCAGCGCCCGCTGTGTGCAGCCGCCAGCTGGAAGCACTTTTGTCTTACGGATTAATTTCATGGATGCCGGCGGATAATGACAACTTTCAGTCCCTACCACGCTGGGCTGCCTTTTGGTCTCCCCGCTGTCGTGGCTCTTTTGGAAGAAGCCCTTATTTTCACCACAACATTTGGGGAGTTAAGCACGGGGAGAGCAAGCCAAGCTCCCACTGCTGCATGTCCCGGAGCCCGCAGCCTGCCCTGCCGCACCTTCCTCGTGCATCAGCAGCAAAATCTCGTCGGGTGGAAGGGAAAAAGGAATAATCGGGTGAGCAGACGCGCGGAGGAGAGGACCTGCTCATCGTGCCAACAAATCTGTGGCATCAGGGGGCCGTGAAAAGCTCCACGTGCAGAAGCACGACAGCCTTCTCCAGAAGAGGAGGAGGAGAAGGAGGAGGAGGAGAAGGACGGCCGCTGCCAGGCACCCGGCCAGCACCCAGCTCGCGCCCGTTGGAAGCACAGCACGCAGCAGGACGTAGCGCGGGGTGCCCTGAGCGGCGTGACACCGGGAGTGGCCCCGCTCTGCTCGCCCTCCCGCAGCACCCCAACTCAGCAGCAAGTTGCACAAGCCGCGGGGCTGGGGATGCTGCGGCAGCAACAGAGGGACCCCCCCGACCTGGGACCGGTCGCTACGCCCCTCCCTGGGGCTGAGTCCCTAACGCGTCCCGGTACTCACTTGCTCCATGGTCAGGACCGGCCGCTGCTCCTCGCCGCCCGTTCAGGGGCTCCGCCGCCGCCGGCGTCCCGCAGCCGGGCGGGGGGACATGCCGGGCCGGGCCGTGCTCTGCCTCCGCACCAACTTCACGCCGAGGAGCGGCAGCACCGGCCGAGCGGCAGCGCCGGGTTTCCGGCAGCTCCGAAGCTGCGAGCGCGGCCCCAGGGAGGCGGGGATCCCCCTCCTCCGGCCCCGGCCCCGCCGCCGCCTCGCCTGGCCCGGCCCCCGCCTGGCCCAGCCCCGGCTCCGCAGCTCCGTGAGGCCGCGCCCGCGGTGGGAGTGGGGTGGGAGACGTCGGGATGGAGGGACCGGAGTCGGTCAGGGGAATGGGACGTGGTTCTGGGGTCACATAGAGTGCAAGGGCTCAAGGGAAAGGATGCGTGGAATGGGGCAGGGTCTGCAGGATGTTATATGGACCACAGGTATGGGACAAGGTCTCGAGAGTGGTACATGGACCAGAGAGATGGGACAGGGTCTAGAGAATGGGACATACACCATAGGGGTAGGACAGGATCTGGAGAGTGGGATATGGACCGTGGAGGTGGGACAAGGTCTGCAAGGTGGGAAATGTGCCGTGGAGGTGGGACGTGGACCATAGGGGTGAGACAGAGTACCCAGTGGTGGGATGTGAACCTGGAGCCCCTGGTCTGGGGCAAAGAACTGTGATGTCGAATAGGTCAGGCTGAGTCCCCAGCGTTCAGGCCACACTCCCGTGCAGGGATGGGACCCCTGGAAGTGGTCACTCATGAGGGTCAGGCAGGGTGCAGGTTAGAGCAGCAATGCCCCGGGAGCAGCAGGATGGGGTGCAGAGTGCAGAGTGATGCCCAGTCAGGTACCGTCTGCGCCCTGAGCTTTTCAAAGCCCTGGTGCACATCCTGGGGCTCTGTGGACTGGCACCGTTCCTTGGAGCAGTGCTGGCTCCTGGCAGCACAATGTCCTCAGGACGATGGGTTTTGGCAGTGCCCAAGGGAAACAGCTGGAAAGTGGTCCTTGGTGGCAGAACTGGTTAACACTACTAGTCACGCTCCAGCTATTGTTCTCTGTTGGTATTCAGCTCTGCAGACTTCTGCTTCTATTTCAGGCCTGCTGAAGGGCTCATGTACCCTGCAGCCTGCCTGTTTTTCTCCTAATTATTTCAGTTGGGCTAAAAAAAGATATTACCTCCCTCTGCAAACCTTGCCTCCATTGTTCTCAGCAGGGTGAAAAGGAAAGGAGAAGAAAAGCATTGATATCTCCAGGTTAAATGCACTTTTTCACAGGTATCTCTGCTTGCTCCATTTGCACAGGGTCCAGTCTAGGACAGAGTCCTGAGAGCACGCAAACAGCAATTAATGTTAATGAGAAGAAACACCTGATTGCATCTCCTTCTTATCAGTTTGGCTGTGGCTTTGGCAGAGGCTCCTGTCTCGCCAGTGTGATCCCTTTGCTGGGTAAACACTGTCTGCAGCCTCACTTCTCCTGCCACCACTGGAGCAAAACTGGTCACAGAAGATACTGATTTGGTGCAACCAAATCATGGGCCTGGCATGCAGCTGCGAGCATCCATGCATCTCATCCCTGCAAGTCCAAAGTTCTGGGTGCAGCACAGAATGAGTTATTGTTAAAAAAATGATGCTGCAGCCAGGCTTTCAAAATGACTCAAGCCAGCAGAAATGCTTTTCTGTATTCTTTATTTTCCTGGCAGGGCTGCGGGGAGTGAGGGGAAACCTCTGGCCCAGCCGATAGGGTGTGGGCTGTGGTTCTGATTCTCTCCCGGAAAATTTTAATCGGTGAAAAAGTGCGGAATGTTTTTAGCATGCAGTCACCGTGCATGCGAGGACACGTGGCTGCTGGGGAGCCACGACGCCAGGGCCGTATTGTGGGGGTTTATCAGCTGTTGCGAGGGCAGTCCCCATCCGCAGGGAGCAGCAGCTCCGGGAGGACCTGTTATTGAATGAAAGTAATTAAGGGAAGGTGTTTGCGGAGTGAGAATGCAGTGGCTTGTTGCACAAATCAGCGGCTTGCTGGCAGCTTGGGGACAGGCATCGTGGCTGAGTTTGCAGCAGGGAAGCGCTGCCCACACTGGTGCGTGGTCACTGGTAAAAGTGGGGTGATGCTGCTGGGGGTGACACCAACAAGCTGGTGCTGGTGAGGCATGCAATGAGGACCTCAGCTGGTGAGGCAGCCCTTTGCTCTAAGCCCTATGTGGTGCTGGCATTGGGGTCTGTGACCCATCCCTGCGGCCAATGGGAGAGCTGTGACACTGCTACCCATCCCCAGCCCGCAGGAGCTGGACACCTTGGCAAGTCACGTGCTTTGATTTCCCTCTGCACTCGATGGTAATAGCACTTCTTCAGGGCATTGGACAGCCTCCTTCGTTAGCATCTGGCTAACGAGCACCTGGAGCAGAGGCTGGGTGTTGTAATTGGACTGGGAGGAGCAGGCAGCCTGGGAACACCTGGGCATGGTGAGCAGCAGGAGCCCCCACACTGGGTTTGGCAGCAGCAAAGGCTGCAGGAGGTGGCATGGGGGCACATGGTCAATGGGCATGGTGGCAATGGATGTATGGCTAGACCCAGAGATCTTACAGATCTTTTCTGACCTTGATTCTATGGTTCCCTGCTACACTTGGAAATGCCCCTGGGTGCTGGGGGTTTCAGCCTGCATGTGTTTGCAGTGGGAACAAAGCAAACCCAAAATCATGGAAAGGCCATCACTTGCTGGGGCAGAGTGGGGATGCCTTAAGTTAGCTTATGAAGAAGTGTGATGAAGGCCATGTGTTTAAATCCAGGTTGGGATCGCTGTGGTTGAGACTCCTGCCAGGGGCTCCCTGGCACTGCCCTGTGTCCCCATGTGAAGGTACTGACACCGCTGGAGGCTCTGAGCTACCACTTCTACTGTGAGTGTGAATCTGGGGAGATGGACAATGAGATTTGGAGTGATTTTGTGCTTTAAAAAAAGGGGAGAAAAGCAAAATGAAGCAACCACCTGAATATGGCTATATGTGCACCAAGCGAGCTGCTGACATCGGCATCCCAGCTTTGGGTGCAGAAGGGAGTTCCAGAGCTGCTTCTTGATGCTCACCTTAGTTTGGGGTTCTTGTTGTCACCCCTTGCCCCTGCCCTTCCCAGCTCGCCAGAGCTTAACCCCAGCCCACAGCTCCCAGTTTCAGACCACTCCAGTCACGCCAAGCATCCAGGGAGCCCCCACCCGCCCCTCCCATCACTTCTCAGGCATTGCCAAAACCTTGTTTCCTGCAAGCTTCAAAAATATCATCCTTCTGGGAAGAGTGGGAACAGTTTGCAGGAGAGGCAAAAAGCTCATTTTCTGCTTGGGTCTGATAGGAAGCAGCTCCCCGTGCCGTTTTTTGGATATTTCATCATGGCAATGCCACTGAGCATGAGGATTTGTTGAATGGGTTTTTTTGTCCCTGAGCTTCTTCTGAAAAGCCACATCCCCCTCTGCCATGTGCGTGGGGAACAAAGGCTGGGCAGGGAGCTGCCCGCTATTAATACATCAAGGGGCAGCACCAGGAAGGGAGACGAGCTGTGTGCGCCGGGAGACAATGTTGGCACCAGAACAAATGGGATTGGAACTGCACAGGAATAAATGGAGACTGGAAATTAGGGAGGCTCTAATCCTCCACAGATGCTGCCAGGATTGTGCAGTCAGTGCACTGGGATGGGAAAGGGACATCTGGGAATTTGGTGGCAGGATGGCTGAGTGCGGTTCCTTGTGCATCCTGCAGGAACCAGCCCAGGGCAGCCACGCACTGGGGGTACAATGGAGGCAATGTATGATGACGATTGGGGAAGCAGGTTGGGATCAAATGATTAGAGAGAGATTTACACTCAGAGCTGGAAACTAAACTCCTTCATATAGAGTGACACTCAGAGCTGGAAACTAAACTCCTTCATATAGAGTGCTGTAGGGTTCATCCTCTGTGCCTAAGCTGGGGCTCTCATGTAGTCGTGCAGTGAACATGTACAGGGGTGTGTGCACAGGGTGGAGCTGAAGTGCTGGTGGTTCCCAAAATGATGTTCTTGGTGGTGGTGAGACCAGGAGTCTCCAGCCAGTTGAACTGCTGCAGCAATGGCTCGTCCTGCTGGGCTCTGCAGCCACACGGGGGGAATATGCTGTGGCATGGAAAGATGCTGGGATGGGAATCCCAGTGGGCAATGTTTTTTGTCTGAAATTGCAAAATATAATTAATGTTGGTGATCAATGTGGAACTCATTGGCTGTGCAATGCTCCTGGTTGATGACAGTCTTAGTGCCAGTGTGGGTGGGATCCAGTGTCCGACCCGCTGCCTTCACTGCACAATGGGCAATAGTGGGGTTCTGCCACCCCAGGTGAACCTCGGTTTGGGATCTGCAGTTTTGGCTATATTGTAGGGTAAAATATGCTCCTCTTTTTGCTCCTGGGTGAGGAGCTGGGATGTGCTTAATATGCAGAAGATAGTTCCCATTCCTGCCCTCACCCCCGGCTTGTGCCTGGAGCCTATTCAGCCTTCCTTCTCTTCCTCATCCTCCTGCTGCTCGCAGCCTGCGGTCGCTCTGCGTGCTGCCATCCCCCCCTAGCGCCCGCCCGGCGTAGCACCGATCCCGACTGCGCGGAGCTGCGGCTGCACGATCTCGGGATGGCACCCACGGGATAATCTGATGGGGTCTGGGGACACGAGGGGGCTCGGTCCCCACCGCGGGGCTGCGGATCCCTACGGCTGTTTGTTTTTTGAACTCCATCCCTCAGCCGGGACGTCCCCTCTCCAGAATTATGAGCCCAGCTGGGGACAAGGGGCAGTGCTACAAGTCCTGCATGTTGAGCTTGTCCCAGCGATAGGACTGGACATCCCTGTGCACCTCTCCAGGATGTATCTGCACATCTCAGGTTGGGGACCCCATCTGCTGCATTCCCCATGGACATATCCCAAGGATCCCACTTATGCAAACCCCGAGTCTCCACGGACACATCCCTAAGGACCTCATGGATGCATCCCAAGGACCCCAAGTGTCTCAGAGCCCACAGAACACCATCTCCTCCTGCCCACCCAGGCTGGACAAGCCCCACTGTGGATGCTTAGGGCAGAGCACAAGGCCAGTACAAGCCTCCAGCACTGCTCCCCTCCAGCAGATTGCCAATCAGGGACTCCCAAGAGCCACAGATAGTGTCTTTTAATTTATCTTCCACTAATTGCCCCCATGCAGCCCTGGGGCTCTGCAGCCAATGCGTCCCTGTGGTTGAGAGCCGCCATGAGCCACCTCCCTCAGGCTGTCCCCGCTGACGCCGTGTCACCCGCTGTCACCCGTCCCTTGTCTGGGAAGAGGTGAGCAGTGACTAACCCTGCTTGCCCACGTGGAGCTTGCTGGGCTTGCACCATCCCCAGTGGCTGAATCACTGGGTAATTTAGGCTGGGAGGAGGTGGCTTCAACCAGCCTTCTGAGGTCTTCTCAGCGCAGTTGCTCCTTGCACGTAATTCTTCCCAGATTCGGCTCATTCTTGTCCTTCCTCCAGTTCCACCTCCCCTGCACCATTATTACATTGCCATTTCCTCAGCCCAGCAGTCTCTGGGTCTCACTTTGCTGCTCCCACCCAGTGCTGCTCCCACTAGATGCTTCTCCCTATTTCTGCTGTGATTCAGTGCTCACAGCTGCTGCTCTGAAGCCAGAGAAGGATCCCACCCAGGAATTTCAAAATCGGAACACGGATCATTGTCTCAACAAGGGTTGGACCTGCCTGTGGTGCGGGGCTTTCTGGCACTGCACAGTTGCAGCATTGATCCTCTCCTTAAGCATTACATTGGTGGTGCCATGTAGCCTATAGGGAATCAGGAGAGGGGAGGAAAATGCAGGAGGTGAAGGGGCAGCGCGGCTTCCGTCATCATTCAGAAGGAAAGGAGAAAAAAGCACACTGGCCCTATTTTGTCTTGGAAGGAAACCCCTCACAGCTCACCCATAAAAGCTGAATTCAGAAGCTCAGCGTAATCCAAACTTCTCCTCTGCTCTCTTAAAGAAAATGTTGGAACAGAGCGGGCTTAATGCCTTCTGAAGAGGCCCATTTATCTGCAAGCTGAAAGAAAGCATTAGAGTAATATCTGGGAAGGTAGCGCACAGCGGCAGCAACCTGCCAAGGTGGAGCTGCCCTCCTCATGCAGCTCGTTGCCCATTTCCCCTCATTTCCTGCCCATTTCCTCACCAGCCCCAAAAGTTATTGCCATGCTCTCGATTCCATTTTGGATGCATTTTCTCCTGAAAAAAACAAGTACTTTCACGGAAGGGGGAAGCAGGGTGGGCAGAAACTCCTCCAGGTGCCAGCATCTCAGCAGCCAGGATCCCCTCCTCCCCCTGGGTAAACAAATGGGGACCCACTTTATCATGTTTGTTCAAAATTCTGCTGGACATCTGATTCTGATTTGATGCGTAATTATCTTTGATGAGGACTAATGAGCAGCTTTCAAAATGAGCACAGGTGAACGTCTCTCTGCTGTCTCCTGCAGGGAAACCCACATTCACCACCAGCTGCTAAAACAGATTTCTATGGGGCTAATCCAGACATGTCCAGGGCTCCACAAAGCCCCACTTTGCCTTGCACCACTGTAATTGATCAATTTCAGAGCTCACAGAGGGTCCTTTCTCACCTGGGACTGTCTTATTGAGGTTCAGTTTTGTTTCCCTCCCATTGCTCTCAGTATGACTTTGCAAGTGGCAACTGCTAAGGCTGCTAACCTCTTTGGGAAAGAAAATGAACATTGGAGATTTTGAAGGTGCTGTTTTGCTTCAGTGAAAGGAAAACTTGGAAACCAGACTCCAACTGGCTCCAGGATTTAGGACCTCAATGCAGCTTGAAACCCAGCTGCAATTTGAACCGGGTGATGCCGAGGCTGGTGCCCAGCTGGATGGGGCGATGGTCCATGGTCCCATGGTTGATGGTCCGTGATCAGCAGTCATTGGTCCATGGTCAATATTCAACATCAATAGCTGACAGTCAGCGGTCAGTGATCAATGGTCAGTGGTTGATGATCAATTGTCAGCAGGCAACAGTCAATGGCTGATAGTCAGTGATTGATGGTCAATGTTTAATGATCCGTGGTTGATGGTCAATGGTTAGTGGTCGATAGTCAGCTGTTGATGGTCAATATTTGGTAGTCAGCGATCGATGGTCAATGACTGACGGTCAGTTATTGATGGTGGGTGGTTGGTGGGTGAGCTGGCAGTGTAGCAGCACATATGGGCTCTGCATTAACAGCAGTGCTTGCCTAGGTGGAGCTGCTTCTCTTCAGCATCATGGCATGTCTGGTGGCAGTGCAGGTCTCATCACACAAACAACGCCTGGCTGCAGCTCTGAGGAGGGATAGGCAGGATCAGATGAAGAAAACTGTGGGTTTCTGTTTGCTTTCCATGCTCCCCCTTGAAGTACTGTGTGAAAGGTGATCGCTCCCAGAGGTTGGGCTTTGGCAATCCTTGTTACGCCACTGAAACCCTCAGATACGCCCTGGGTGAGCCCCAAGTGTGTCCCAGCCCTGGCTTCCTGGGAGATGTGGGGACATGGGGATACGTGTGACCAGCTCTCCTTCATCTCATATGGGCTGCTGCAGCCCAGCTCTACAGAGTGCTTTTTTTTTTTTTTTTTTTTTTTTAAACACCTTTTTTTAAGGAGTTTCACAGCAATTACAGAGCTGCAGGCAAATACCCAAACCTCAGAGCTGGGAAAAGCTGCCAATAGCTTTGCCATATTCAGGCAGTGACTTTTGTTCTCCTTGGCCTGGCTGAAACAAGAGCCATATTACAGCCCCAAATAGCTGCTTTTCAGGGACAGGTGGGTCACAGCAACCTTTGTTTTTTTGGAAGCAGCCAGCACACTGTGCAGGGAAGACTTTCCAAGGATGCTCCCCACGCCCTTGTCAGGAAATACCATGCTGCTCTCCTTATTGCCATGCCAATTTTTTTTTTAATTGCCATAAATGATAGTCTCGGCAGGGACACGCTGTGTTTTCCCTTGGCTGTCAGATTTTATTTTGAAATCGCTGTTGTTTTGATCTTTGCATCTCTCCACCCTCAGGCTCATCTCTTGCCCCGCACGTTCGCACTCCCAGTGCTCAAACCTTTGCTGAAAGGTTTCAGGTGTGAAAACACAGCAGTGCAGGTCACAGTGGATCCTCGTGGACATCACCCACATTGGAGACAGAGCAGAGGAGCTACATTTGCTTTGCAGAAGCCACAGCACAAGCAGGCGGCCGTCCCTGCTGGTGACTCACGTCCCCATGGACACACGGGTAGCACTCGGAGTCCCAACTTTAGCCCAATTTTAGCCCTGGGGAGAGCCACAATGACAGTGACAGATGCATGGCTCCGGCCCGGGGGACCCGAAATATCCTCTTTTGCTCAGCCACGGTGTGGCCCCTGCCCAGTGCCTGCATAGCCCAGCTCTGCCAGACCTGCTATTCCAGTGGGTGGGGTTGGCTTTGTCTCAGGTTATTCCAAGCTTGTTTTTGGCACAAGGCGCAGTGCCTGGTCCCAGCTGGGGCTGAGCATCCCACCAACCCCACTGGGCATCTCCTTCATTGCCCTCATTTCTTAGACACCAACAAATTCCTTTGAGACCTATGAAAACATTGGGTTTAATTCCCTTCTTTTAATTCAACACTGGGCGCGCCACTGATTTTTATTAATTTATCTGTTCTTCTCCCCACCGTGAATATCTGTGCTGAGCCCTTCTGTCCCTGCAGCGACCATTCGCTCCGTGCTTAAAATTGTTTCTAAACTTCCAGATCCATCTTCTGGATATCTTTACAGGCTTGAGCCCACAGTGGGCCCTCTCCTTTCATCTTTTATTACCGGCATTTTTACCAGGATGACATTTTGACTGGTCTGGGAAATCTTCTCACCCGCCACACTGCTTCCTGACGATCAAGATTTAATCTTTCTGGAGAGGAATGATAGAAAATGCTGCAGATCACTCCGACGTTGCAGAAATCCAGACCATGGATGCTGTTCTCACTGCAGCTCTGGCACGAGATGCTCCCATCTCCCTGCTGCCTCTCTAATCTCCAGTTTAAATCTCCTGTGCTGCTGCCTTCAGTTTCTCATGGCTGGGAGAGCTGCTGCATGGTAAAGCCCATCCACGTGGCCCTCCTTGTTCTAAGCTGGGCTCTTCCAGCCCCAATGGCAGCCCTCTCCCAGATACTTTTTCCTCTGATTCTTCCTCATTTCTCATCCAGGCTCCAACCAGCAGGTGCAGCATGCCTCCATCAAGCACAAATCTCTGGAAATCCACTTGGGATTTTCCCAAAGAGAAAAAATGATCCATTGGCCATGGTGCTGCGGATCTTCATTTTTGACTATTGCACTCAGACAGCTCATTTCCATGCAGCATTTTTGGGATGAAAGCAGAACACCTGGGTGCAGCCCAGCCCAGGAGGAAGGTGGTGTCCACGGGGCACCCTTGCAGCGATGGAAACTGGAACCATGCAGGATGTGAGGCTGCAGCCATCCACGGATTTTCCATCTGCAGAGTAACTCCAGCGCACAGACGGATCACAGAGCACTGCTTTAATTACACCAGCACAATTTTCACTCATTTGGTTAAACCTGCAAGCTACAGAAAGAGCTATTTCCAAGTGCACGGCACGAATTAACAGCCACTCGCAAGCAGCTGGGGCTGTGCTGTGCCACCGCCGTACCCGGCGCACATCCCATAACCGGGGTTTAACCTGATTCCTGCTGTAATCTCCGCGCCCGGCTGGATCGCGCTGCAACTCTCTGGTTTTGAAATCAGCCCAGGAAAAAAGAGTGAGCGCCGAGCCAGGCTGTGCCCCGCTGCACCGCGGTGGGGACAAAGTCTGCTTCACGGCACTGCGGGGTCAGCCAGCAGCCGGCACCTCCCTGCTGGCACCGAGAGCGGAACACTGCCTTCCTCCCCTCCGATCGATGTTCACAGTGCTCCAAAGGCTTTTCCCCCATTCTCTGATGAGCTTTTTTTTTTTCTTGTTTGGAAAGAAAATGGGCAGGAGCAACATGCTGGGTTTTGGAACCATTGCGGTGCACAGTGTGCACCCAACTTGTGAGCAGTCCTGTTGCTGCAGCTCTGGGGTGGTTTTGTGCCCTGTTCCCACCTCTCCTCTGCTCACTGAGCTCTTAATGAGAGGGGAATCTCGAGGCAAAGTGCATAAAACAAGTGGGGGATGAACGGTGGATTTCCCACCTCCTCGTGTTAATGGAAACCATCCTTCCCCACTTAACCAAAGCAGCTGTTAATGTGCTCTGACATATTTTTAGCTGAAAGGTGTTTCTCAGCGATGCCACCTTCATTGGCAACGCCAGTTGTTTTTACTTCCCCTCAAGGTGTCCATCACCAGTGCTCTGCTCCCCAGATCCCCATTTCTCAACTTCTCATTGTCTCCTCTGCTGCTCCCAAGAGATGTGCCACCTCACAGGGGTTAGACCCTATGGGAGAATCTGGGCTCCCCACGGGTTCCTCTTGGATTCATCTCAGTGCTAATTTTCTGATGCCTTCCCATGGGAAACCCAACCCCACGTTCCCCACTCATCATCACAGGGTAATGGGGAAGGCCAATAGGGGTGGCTGCAGGGTGACCTCTGGGTGACAGCCGTGGCTCATGTCCCAAATATATCCCAGCTGGTTTGGGGCATGACTGCATATGAGCAGCTGAAGTTCACTATGGCCCCGCTGTCTGTTTATCAGGTTTGCACACCAAGGTCAAGTTCACCGCGACCCAGTGGATCAGCTGGATGCTGGACACAGGGAAGAGAGGATTTGCTGCCTGTCTCAACAAACCTGTTTGCTGACATATCATGAGCTTCTGATATCCCCTAAGTAGGGTCTGGGGGTGTAGAGGGGTGTCCATGGTTACAGGACTGGGCTGGGTGGCGCACATGAGATGCTACAGTGGGGTGTGGAGGTGATGCAGAGGATGTGTAGTGGGGTATCTGGGTGATGTGGGGAGGGTGAGGGGTGGGTACCCAGGGTGATGCAGGAGGGATACAGGAGGATACTGAGGGGGATAATGATGCCTAGTGGGATGTAGGGGAGATACAGAGGGGATGCCTGGTGGGATGCAGGGAAATACGGATGGGAGTGCCAGGGGTTATTGAGGAGGTGCAGAGGGGGCTGCCCGAAGACATGCAGGGGATATGGACAGGGGTGTGGGCTGCTTAGGAGACGGTGCTGGGAGTGTGCTGGAGGCACATAGAGGGGGTGCAGGGGGGCACAGAGGGTGTATGGGGGGGATGTCCGGAGATGTAATGAGGGTGCAGCGGGGCTGCGGGACTGCAGAAGTGGGGTGCAAGGGGGGGTACAGAAAGAACTCCCAGCACTCAGTGCCAGTGGGACCCAGGGGGTGCGGGAGCGATGCCCGCAGGCACGCCACACCACCCGCTCCGTCCCCATCCTTCTTCTCCCCTCTCTACCTCCGGGCCGGGCCTTCCTCCCCCCACCCCCCCACATTCTCTCTCTCTCACACACACACACACCCCGGGAGCATCCCCCCGCCCCCGCCGGGCTCCGGGGCCGCTTTAAAAGCCGCCTCTCCCCGCTCCGCCCAGCGCGGCCCCGCGGAGCGCCGAGCACCATGCGCGCACCTCCGGCCTCCGCGCCCGCCCCGCGCCGCGCAGCCCCCCCGCCGCCCGCCCCCCTCTGCCTCCTGGCCCTGACCCTGCTCCTTTGGGGCCGGGGGGAGGCGGCGGGGCCCTCCCGCACCGTCTATACCAACCACTGGGCCGTCCGCGTGCGGGGGGGCCCGGCCGAGGCCGCCCGCCTGGCAGCCGCCTATGGGTACATCAGCTTAGGGCAGGTAAGGGGGTGCGGGGGGAGGTGCGGAGGGGCCGTACGGGGCCGTTCGGGTTCGCGCGTGGGGCCGGGAAGTTGCACGGGTGGATCGGGGAAACTTTGGACTCTCCGCCCGGGGTTGATCGGAGGTGTCGGGAATGCGAGGAGCGGGCGGTCCTCCCCGGTCCCAGCGCGCTGCGGGTGCCGGGGGGTCCCGGCACGGTTCCCCCCGGGTCTGAGGATTCCGCCCCTTCCCCCTGCGGGAGCCGCGTCCCAGCGATTGATTGCAGCTCTGCTTTCTGCCCTAACCCTGCGGAGTGCAATTCGGATGTTGCATCATCAACAAACCCGTCCCGTGCCCGTGTCCCGCAGCTGTCGGGCGGCAGCGTCCCTCCAGCCCGTGTCCCTCCAGCCCGTGTCCCCCACCTGCAGCGCCGCGCTCTGCCCTCCCCGGCCGTCCAGCCCCATCCCGACCTCCCTCGCGGAGCTGGGAGCGCGCCCTTCTGCTGGTTCTCCACATTCAGCTCAACGTCTCCATTAAACGTCCCGCTTTGCAGCAGGCGTGCTCCTGCTTTAGGCTCTTGCGTCGACCCAACGCTGTGTTCCTGCTTTGGGGTATTGCTTTGCCTTATATCGGCTGCCCTGCGCACCGATCCCTCTCCACTCCATCCATCTGTCCATTCCATTCATCCACCCGTTTGTCCCATCCATCCTTCCATCCATCATTTCTGTCTGCCTGTCCCATCCATCTGTCTGTCCTGTCCATCCCTCCCTCTCCCCTGAGCCCTCCCAGGACAGCCGGCAGCAGGCTGCAGACCAAGGGAAATATTTCTGTGCTTGCATCAGGGCGTTCCTGCTTCTCCTCCGGCGTGTGCACCTCTGCAGTGCTCTGGCTGCTCCAGGCCATTCCCAGCCCCGGGGCTCACCAAGTGCTGAACCCCATGCATACACATCCCCCTTTGTGCACGTGTCCCTGGGGCTTGTGGGGATGAGGAGGGGAGAAACAGTGGTGTGAGGATTTGGGGACCTCTGCGCTTGTCCCTGCTCTGGCAGAGGGACATGTGGTGCTTCCCTCCTTCAGCTTCTGAGATTTCAGATATTGGGACCCCGTTGGGACCTTGGTTGTGGGGACTCCAGTGCCACCATGAGAGCTGCCCTCCTTGCCCCTCTGCTCACGGCATTTGGGAGAGAAGGGGATGGGAAGCAGAGCAGGAGGCAGCCATACCCGTGTGGTTGTATTGCTGCTTAACATTAAGGATGACATTTGTAGAGCAGTGCCTGTTGGAACTGGGATGTGTGAGCTTGTCTGGAGGCAGAAGGGATCAACTTGCCTCTTGCACTGTTGTGTTTCTCTCTGGGACTCTGCTGCTCTTGGGGTTTCCAGCACCCCCTTTGTTGTGCTTGTGGGGTTTCAGCCCTATTGATGCCATCCATGGGAATAACTGAAGTGTCCTCAGCTCCCCCAGAGCTCCCACCTGTGGGGCTCACACTGCTCCCAGTGAGCGGGGCAAGAGCTCCAGCAGTGTCCTCTCTGATCCCACAGAGAGGAGAGCAAATACTTTTCCATCTTTTTTTTTTTTTTAAGGCAGAAATCACATTTTTGAGTTGTTCTTCTTGGGTTTAAAGTTAGGCTCAAAGGGTCCCCTGACCCAAGGTCCTGGTCAAAGCAGGGCCGGCTCTCAGTAATTCTGTGGGAATGAAGAACTCTGGTTTATAACCCCCTTGCCCATCTCACTGCATCTCCACAGGATGTTGGGTTGAATGAGTGATGCCTGTGCTTTTGGGGAGAGAGGGTCCACATAGAGCCATAGAATCACTGAGTTGGAAGGGCCCCTTAAAGGCCATCTGGTCCAACTCTCCTGCACTGAACAGGGGCACCTACAGCTCAAGCAGGTGCTCAGAGCGCAGTCCACATCATCACTGGCTGAGAGATGAGGGGTCTGGGAGCAGCACAGCCTTGGAGTTGACATTTTTCTGCAGACCATGGGAAACCCTTGCCTTTGTAAAACAAATCTTTCTTTTTCCCAGATTGGCAGCTTGGAAAACTACTACCACTTCCACCACAGCAAAACGTTCAAGCGCTCGACGCTGAGCAGCCGAGGACCGCACACCTTCCTCCGCATGGACCCCAAGGTATGGGGCTGTACCCCCAAACCTCACAGCCATGGTCTGCAGCACTGCACGATGACAGCACTGTCCTTGAGACGCAGCCCTGTGCATGCACACGGTGACTCACCGGGCATGGGGATGTTTATCAGTGATGAAAAACACTTAAAGTGACTAAATGCTAACATCTGCCTGAAGGATGGGGGGAAAGCAAAGGGAGGAAAAAGCCTTACAGGATCGTGAGGTTGCTGCATACTCGGGTGTTGATCCAGTTGCCACAACATTTGCTGTCTCAATGGTTGCTATGTGTGAAATCGTTGGCAATCGGCGTGCATTGCTTTTTCCTAGAGCAAACATCCGAAGGGATTTGGGTTGCAGCTGAGTTGACAAAAGCAATGGGGGACCAGGAGGATGCAGGACAAGTGAGCCCGGGTGGTGTTGAGGGCTGCAGCTCTGTGATATGTTATTTCAGCAGAGCAAAGGACAAATCCTCAGTGCTAATGCCTGGAGATGTGCGGAGTGCTGGAGTGGTGGCAGAGCTGCTCAGGGAACAAGCAAATGATGGATTCCGATCTGCAGTGGAAATACTTCCATCTCAATGAATCTGGGGCCAACAGATGGGGCCGAGTCAATGGGCTTTCAGTCTGTGAGCGTGTGCCTCGCATTGCTCTGTGGTCCTCAGAGCTCTGAGGTCCCATTGTTGGCTCTTGCTCTGAGTTTAGGACCTCTTGGCATGTGTTGTCCCTCTTTCCCATGTTTCTAGCTCATTTTAGAGGTGTCTCGGCATTTGAGCGTGCACAATGCAATAAAAAAAATCCCTGCGAGGCACAAGGAGACACGACATCACAAGCTGGGAAACAAACATTGCAGAAACCCTGAAGAAGCAGCAAATTCAATCAATTGCAGATGTTCCACATCTCGTGTGTTCCAGGGGGCTATTGTTCCAGCATGGGGATTTATTGTTTGGTTCCACCACAGGAGCCAGGTCCCCTCAGGCTCTGGCAGTAAGGGTGGTGATGGAATGTGCAAGAATGGTGCTTGGGACACTCTAAATTGCACTCATACCCATGGAGAACCATTTGAGGTCCTGGGTGCTCACTGTGGGGCTAACGTCCACCAAGTGGTGTGGTGAAGATGAAAGGATTTAGCAAATCTGGCAATTTGGGGGGCAAACTGTGGGTGAAAGGAGAAGACACTGGGTGGAGCTGCCCCATATCACTCAATGGAGATTCCAGAGCTCTGGGGAGCACAGGAGCTGCCCCTCTGCTTGCAGCCCAGGATCCCGGCGCAGGGCTCTGTTATAACTGTTTCTCAAAGCAAAACCCCATTCTTTTCTTTTTTTAATATAATTTCCAAGAAGCCTTTGTCCCCTGTGAAGGGTGATGGGAGCTGTCAGGAATGTCACAAGCTGAGGGCTGCCTCAGGCTCCTTCCCATCCTCATACAGTAGCAGTGCTGGGAAGGGGTGGGCAGCAAGCCCCTCAGCTGAGGAGTGCTGCTTTGGGGAGAAAAGCCACCTAATTGGGCAATTTCCTCTATTTAACATAGTTTTTTCAACCAGACCATGAAGCTGTGTTTTGTTTTTGCTTCCAACACTTAAATCCATCGCTGCACAAATGAAGCAGCTTGCTATCAGCAGGCAAGGCACCATGGAACCATATTTTCCTATGAAATATGTTTTTGTTTGTTTCAACAGTTATTTTATTTTATTCCCCCCCCCCCCCCCCACCTTGGAAATATATAGGTTTAAAAACGCAGCTCTAGGCTGGGAGCGATGCTCACCGTTCTGCCTTCATCTCTGTAAATCAGAGCCATAAAGCCATAAACCAAGTGCGGAGCTCTCGCTTCGGCTGGCAGCTCCCGCATAAATGAGCCAAACAAAAACTTACCGTTTGGATTTGTATTCTTTTTTTTTTTTTTGATAGAAAAGTGTCTGTCTAAAGATCACAGCCACGGCCATGTGGAGGTCAGGGCCACGAGATGTGGGGGTGAAGGGTTGGGGAGCTCTGTGCCCAACGTCAACACAGTGAGCGTGTGGGGGTAAATGCTTGGGGGTATGTGGGGTTGGTTTTGATGAACCTTCAGTGCTTGGGGCTGCACAAAGCCAGGGGTGTCCAGGTGCGTGCTGGTGGGGCTGCAGGATGGGGACCCACCAGACGTGGGCATCAGGATGGAACAGCAGCACTGTGGCATCACGTAAAGCTTTACACACACCTCCAGTATAGAGTTGTGTGACTTTAATATAAATGAATAGAAATGTTAAAGTTGAAAAGGACTTCCAAGATTCCCAAGTCCACCCCATTGTGCCTATTGCCCGTGTCCCTCTGTGCCTCATCCCTGTGGTTCTGGAGCACCCCCAGGATCAGTGACCCCACCACCCTTGGGCAACCTGTGCCAGTGCAGCCCCGCTCCTTCTGAGAAACGTTTCCTAATATCCATCCTGACCCTCCCCTGGATGAACCTTGTTTATCTCCAAGATCTAATGCTGCTCTGCAGGATGCAGCGTAACGAATGAATGAAATATATAGAACTCATGACGGCTTTCAGCCAGCAGTTCCTGGCTGTCTGCCTGTCCATCCTGCCCCTCTGCCTGCAGACAGAGCTGGCTGGGGACTGGGGGCACATCCCCCCACAGCCCTTTGCTCAGCAGTGCTCTGTGCCCACAGGTGGAGTGGCTGCAGCAGCAGGAGGTGCGGCGGCGGGTGAAGAGACACATCCGTGGTGATCCCCCCTCCCTGCCCTTCAACGACCCGGTGTGGCCCAACATGTGGTACCTGGTGCGTATTGCCTCCATGAAAAGTGAGCTAAAAATTCAGATTATTTATTTTTTGTACAAAGGGGTTTGGTTGGAAGTGTTTCAGCAGTGCCTTCGCTGCACTGTGCGCGTAGACATCAGAGCATCACAGCTGCAGTGCTGGCACATCTTTGCCCATCAAAGAGCTGCTACCATCTATTTGCAATATCATTTTTCCTCCTGCCTGGCTCATCGATCCGTGTTTGACAGGGAAATTCGTTTGAAATTAAGTGCAGAGAGGAAATGGGCGCTTCAAAAGCCAAGAGCCTGCAGTGTGAGGAGTGGTGGAGGGAAGGGATGATGGGGAGAGGAGAGTGTGCTCCTGAGCTGACCACTGCTGGTGGCCTCGGTCAGTGTGGTTGGAGCAGATCTATGAGTTACTGGGAGGGGTTGGAATTGGGATGTGCTTTTGGGTTGATAAATGAGCTCCACGCTGCCGTGGAGGGGCTGAAGCCCAGGCTGTGGGATCGCAGCCCTATTGCAGGCTGTGCTCTGCCATTGCTGCCCCTGTAGCACTGCGGGGACAGGAACAGCCGCTGCCGCTCGGAGATGAATGTGGTCGCTGCCTGGCAGAGGGGCTACACCGGCAGGAATGTGGTGGTCACCATCCTTGATGACGGGATAGAGAGGAACCACCCCGACCTGCTGCAGAACTACGTGAGTGGGACACCTGGGGCTGAATGGTGCCAATGGAGGGGGTTTGTTTCTGCTGAATTGTGGGAAATAAGCACAGCATGAGGCTGCACAGCAGGAGGTCACAGGAAGGGGGTGTTTTAGGAAGGAGAAATGAGAATGTGGGGAAACTCTGGCAGGGTCTGGGCTGCTGTCCCATCACAGTAAGTGGAACCTAATGGCAGAAAACCCATTTCAGGACCCTCTTGCAAGCTACGATGTTAATGGGAATGACCACGACCCAACGCCTCGCTACGATGCCAGCAATGAGAATAAGTATGTGGTGCTAACTGCACAGTTGCTGAGTCCCTGTCCCATTCTATCCCATGGAATCCCATCCCTTCAGGAAATGCTGCTTTAAGGGCTTTACATAAAATCTGCTCACAGGGCTTTCTCCCTGCAGGCACGGCACGCGCTGCGCGGGGGAGGTGGCAGCAGCAGCCAACAACTCGTACTGCATTGTGGGCATTGCCTACAACGCACGCATTGGAGGTGAGGCCAGCACTGTCTGCAGCCCCCTGCCCTTCCTACTTCCCCCACAGGGCCATGATGGGGTTGGTGGGCTCCTGGGGTGGGTAGAGGGATGTAATTCCCTCACATATTGCTAGGAATGTGGCACCAATGTGGCTTAATGTGGATCATCCCCCATTTGGGCAAATCCCAGCATGGGGAGTAGGGAGCTCTGGGGGGGCTTGTGGGAGGATGGGGGTCCCCAGCCCCATGCAGGTGATCCCAGGGTGTGGGGTACACTGCCTCTGTGTGTTTTGGGGTGGAAAACTGCTTGGGTCACATCCCTGTCGTAAGTCCATGCGTGTGTATGGGTGGTGGTGGCTTTGCCCTGAAGTGTTGGAGGGTCGGTCTGGATGGGACATGTATTTGGTTTGGCTGGTGGCAATGAGTTAGCTCCAGAAATCACTTATTTGTGAGGTTGTTGTCTGTCAGCGAGCAGCTCAGGAGGGGTCTGGGGGACCCCAAAATGTCCTCAAGGGAAAATAAAATGGTTGTGCAGATAGGGGTGTGAGCACATTGTGTGGCTGCTGGGACCGTGTGTGGTGAGCCCAGAGCTGGGTGTGCGCTCGGTGGGTGCCTCAGCAGGAGTGGGGCTTTGCCAAAGGATCTGTGAGCCCTTGTGCCACCCCAGGCACTGGGAGCAGTCCCAAGTGCTCAGTGTCTGGTTCTTCGCATCCCAGCAACGCACCACCCTGCTTTCCATTGAGTTGCGTCCTTCTGTGCGTGGCTGGCAGTGGGGACCTGATGCTGGGGAAAGCCCCGGTGGAAGATGTTGTTCTGGGGAGAGTGACTGGGGGGGCTGGCAAAGGTTGTGTCGTGGCCCCATCCCCAACCTTCCCCATCCTCAACCTTCCCCATCCCATTCCACCTGCGTGATGCCTTCTGCTCATTGTTCAGACAGGTTGTTCACACTCTGGCTCTGCTCCACTCAGTAGGATTTAAGGTTTGGCACCCTGCAAGATCAGGTCCTGGTGTCTGTATTTCCCCAATAAGGGCTACAGAAATGAGTGTTGCTTGCTGCCTTTATTATGGGTTCTATTTTAATTTGCTTCCTTTTCTTGACTTGTGTGTGTGCTGGGAGTGGTGAGCGAAGCAGGCAACCTGGCAGAGCCAAGAAACCCAACCTCCAGACCTATCACCTTTGCATTTGAGGAAAAAAACACTGCAGCTTCAGTGAGAGTGACTTTAGATGGATGACTCAAATAAAGCAGTGATGAATGAGCACAACTTGCTGGGGAAGCCCATTTGTCACACTCAGGGAGCTCCCACCTAATTGGGCTTGCTGCTCTCCATCGCTCATGCATCGCTTTTCATTTGCTGTGGGCAAAGCATTGCTGTAAGCAAGGAGGGCTCCTGTCATACCTCCTCCTCTCTTCTTTCCTGCAATGCTCTCCTGGGAGACAGCTTCCCTTCATGTTTCCTGGGACAAGGAGCTTGGGACACAGCATCCTGCATTTTCAAGCTAGTGTTTGGCTAATGTGGGACAGCGTCAGAGAAATGCAGTTGAGCTGAGTTTTGTCTGGAGCACAGATGCAGTGTAATTCCATCTACCTGCAGTTGTCTTCTTTAAGAGAAGGGGAACTGCATCAGTGTAAACCAGAGTTTCCCTGACTGGATGCTGGGCACTACTCTGGGCTCTCCATACAAAGCATCAGCGCTTGCGTCTGCAGGGCCTTCTGCTCCCCTTACCCCAGTTTCAGGTTATCCCTGGGGCTGGGAATGTGGCTTCCCATGTTATCTCAGTGGGGATGCCATGCTGGGGTCACTGCTGCTCCTGGAGCTGTCCTTGTCCTGGCACTGTCGGCACCAGTTGGGCAACGATGTGACATATGATGGGCACTGCTGTTTCTATACATGGGGTCCCACTGTCCTGTGGCACTGCCCAACGCCCATATGTGCCCAAAGCCAATGGGCCTGTGAGCTCTAGGGAAAAGCTGCTGTCATCCAGGTGGTGTTGTTGGATTAGATGGGGCAAACAAGGTTTTAGAATGGGAAACCAGCGTTTTAGGAGGGGGATACCAGGGTTTTTGGATGGGAATTTCAATGATGAGAGCGGAGCTTCCTTCTAACTGCTCAGACTCGCTGGAGCTGATTTTAAACCCTCACCCAAAACCTCATTGCTTGCAATAAAGCAGCACAGGGAGCACGAGCAGAGCTCCCTGCATGCCCTCCCAGCTCCTGGCCGTGGGGCTCGCCGGTGCTGCTGCTTGTTGCAGCTATTGGAGGCATGCCGAGCCTCGCGGTTTCCGCCACCGCTAACAAAGGCCTTTGATTGCAATCCTTGCACTTTCATAAAAGCCATTAAGCCCTAATGTCTGATGTTTTTGTGCTTTTAGGCATTCGTATGTTAGATGGAGATGTAACAGATGTTGTTGAAGCGAAGTCGCTTGGCATCAGACCCGATTACATTGACATTTACAGCGCGAGCTGGGGGCCAGATGATGATGGGAAGACAGTTGATGGACCCGGCCTATTGGCCAAGCAGGCTTTTGAGCATGGCATTAAAAAGGTGTGGACCGCGCAGCGCCCAGCGCTGGCACTCCTCCCCTGCCCCGTGGGACCCCTGCTCCGCCCCCTGCGTCCCATCCCTGAGCTCCGAGGGTTTGGTGATGGGAGACCCCTCAAGTGGCAAAGACCTGGTGCTTTTATATTAAAAAGAAAAGGGCAAATGTTGGCTCAAAGCACTGGGAAAAGCCCTTCTGCGGCCCCTTGGTGGGTAAGTGATGCAACCCCCATGTTCTGGGGCAGCTCGGGGTTGGGTTTGGCTGCCCTGAGACCATTCCCCTCCTTTCCTCCTCTCTGCTCTCAGCTCTGCCGCCCTCATGTTATCTATAAATAGGGTGGAGTGTTTTCCCACTATTTACTTGATTTCCTGCCGGGGCGGTCGGGCTGAAGAGGAATTCATTGAAGTTGCTGGGAGTTCATGTTGTGTAAATACAGGGAACAGGCCGCCCTTCACAGTGCTTTTTTTCATGCGGAAGTGAGCAGGCAGCAGTGGGGTCCCTGTCCGGCATGGACCCGCCGTTTCGGGAAGAGTTCTCCACATCTCTGCTTTTATTTGAGGATGGCTGAGCTCAGAGTGGTTGGACAAGGGAGGAGGATTTGGATGAAGATGGGTCCTGCACCCCTGGGTCCCCCTTTTCCCCTTCCCTTCTCCCCTTTCCCTTCTCCCTTTCCCTTCTCCCTTTCTCTTCTCCCTTTCTCTTTTCCCCTTTCCCTTCTCCCTTTCCCTTCTCCCTTTCCCTTTTCTCCTTCCCTTTTCCCTTTCCTTTTTCCACTTCCCTTCCCCCCTTCCTTTTTCCCCATTTTTTGAGTGAGGCAGGGTTACTGATGGACTGCTGTGTTCCTGAGCCCCGTGTTGCCTTTCCCACTCTGTACCAAGCTGATTTGGGTTCTGCACCATCCCCATCTCGCACTCCCTGTTGACCAGTGCCACCCATGTTTGCGGCCCTCACCACCCTCCTTGCAGAGCTCCTAATTGCCGCCTGCCTCCCCTTAATTAATGAGGAAAGTCATAAGCAGAGAGCTAGCAGCAACCTTTAGCCCAAGCAAATGGCTGCGTCTGAGTTATAAATCCTTAAAATTGAGTTTTTAATGGAAACATTAAAATAACCTTTATCTGTTAGCAGTAGGGCTGCACGGGGGTCATTTATCATCTTGTTACTCACCACACTTGTTAGCTCCCGAGCTAATAGGGCAATATTTCTCCTGGCACCATAGGGCTCCAGCACTGCAGGAGCAGGGGATGTGCACCTCGTGTCCCACTGATTCCTTGGTCCCAAGCGTTGGCCAAGGGGGAAATCACAGGGGTTTATATGCTGTCTGTGTCCTGTTTTTATTGCAGTCTTTCTGGGGTGGAATTGGTTTGGGGAGGTGGCCAATAAAGCCATTGGGTGTTTTGGGTCTGCCTGTGGGAAGCTTCATGGCTGATTGAGGAGTGCAGGGATGGCTTAGGGCCAACCACGTTGCAAAGTGAGGCAATGTTCTGCTCTGTTGGGAATCGCCATTGGGTGTGAGTGGTGCTGTGCTGAATGGAGGGATGTTGCTTGCGTGTCCTTTTGGCTCTGGAGCTGACTCCCACTGTGGATGCAATGACACAGGCAGAGCCTGGAGCATCCTTATGAGGGAGATTTTGGCTTCCCCATGTGTGTACCCAAATGGAACCCATAGCCACATCTCTGCATGTGGTCCGTGGGTACCATTAGATGCTGTAGGTGGCACATGAGTTCTGCTGGTGCTTTCCTGCTGCTAGTTCTTGTTGGCTGTCACGTGTCACGTGGCCAGCCGGCCAGTGTATGCATGGCCATATACATGGGAGACGTGATAAATCCCAGCAAATTGCTCTGATTTTGCATCTTCTTCTGTGAGAGCAGACAGCCAAGCAGAGGGTGGGGATGCAGGCAGGCGCTGATCTGCCCAGGTGAACCTTGAGGTCTCTGCAAGAAGGTCAGGGCTCCAAGGAGGCAAAGGAGCAAGGCAGCCATTTAGGGGAAGGAGGCTTAATTAAACGAGAGGGCTACACAGGAATGGTGCTCTATTCCATGCCTGCTCAGTACCCCCTCAGAGCATCAAGATGTGCAATAACACATTAGCTCTGTGTGCCCCAAGGGGAGCAAATGGGCCCCCCTTGTGCTGTGCTGCCAGTTTCATTAGGGGCCCCTCGTTAGCAGTGTGGCTGCTCCCACATGGGACTTTCCCCAGCTCCAGGGAGGTCTGGGCAGCCGGCAAGACTGCCCGGTGGGGATGCTCCATCAGATGTTCGTGCCAAGCCATGAGGGAAGGAAAGAAGCAAACAAACAAAGCCTAAAGGATGCATTGCAGGAAGCTCTCTGATGGTTTGGGTGGGTGGTGGGTAGTGGGTGGCTTTACAATGGGCTTTGTGGGCTGGAGAGAAGTGAGGCACAGGTTTTAGGGAGTTTCTTGATGTTCCTCTAGGATGAGGTGACCCAGCTGCTCTTACCCAGGGGGAAAACTGCATGCTGATGCCACCATTCCACCCTAACCAAACCCTAAATTCTGCTCCAAGTCCAGTGAGTGGTGGCTGCCCCTGCCACTGTCCCCTGCTCCCTGGGCTGCTCCCCACTCTCATCCCAGGCAAACACTTGGTCTCCTAACCCCTTTCCCTCTCTGCCCACAGGGCCGCAGGGGTTTGGGGTCCATTTTTGTCTGGGCATCAGGAAACGGCGGCCGAGAGGGTGACTACTGCTCCTGTGACGGCTACACCAACAGCATCTACACCATTTCCATCAGCAGCACCACCGAGAACGGCTACAAACCCTGGTACCTGGAGGAGTGTGCATCCACCCTGGCCACCACCTACAGCAGCGGGGCCTTCTATGAGCGGAAAATTGTAAGTTCAGCCCTGAGCAGATCAGCAGCCCCTTGGTGTTTGTGGTGAGGGCTTCTACTTGCAGGGTTGTTTTGGTGACAACTGCTCAGTGCGTTGGCCCTGGTGGTCTTGTCCTCAGGAAGCTCCAAAATCTGGGTTTTCCCATTGGTGTGTAAAAATGAAAACAAGCACATAAAAATGAAAACAAACATGAGCCCATGGGCATTTCTTCCAGATCTGCTCCAGCCATAGCTTTTCCTCCAGCTGATCCACAACAAAACTTAATTTTTTCCCTTTTCAAACAGTTTTTTTGCAAGGGAAAACACAAGCACAGGTGTTTTCTTATATGCCAGATGTATCTGCAGCCACTTTTTTGGGCTGATGATGTGGGAATTGTGGTGAAGGTTCATTACCCATGCCATGGTGCCGTGGTTTCCATTGAGCTCTCAATGGTCAGCACTGGGAGCACCTCTGGCATCGCGGGGCTGCAGCTGTTCTCTCTGCAGGTCACCACTGACCTCCGGCACCGCTGCACCGATGGCCACACCGGCACCTCCGTGTCTGCACCCATGGTGGCCGGCATCATCGCCTTGGCTTTGGAGGCAAAGTAAGTCAACCCCACTGGGGTGGGACCTTCCCAAGCTTAGGGAAAAGGATTACTTTTGCATAACACCAAACGCACTCTCAGCCCTGCTCCAGCCATCCCCTGGCTTGCAGGGCACCTGCTCATGAACTTCTATTAGTGTTTTTATGGGGTGGAATACAAACAAGGCTCTGTCTCCCCTTGCTGTGAATGAGCCGTGGGGCAATGCTGCCATCACATTTGGGGGTGGTCACACTCAGCAGACTCCGTCTCCTCCAGTTTAATCTTGGTACCCAGGTTAAGTGATAACATCTTCGGAGATGCTGTTTTCCTTCTTAAGAATGTTAGGTGCGGAATTTGCATTGTTTATCCAGGGCATAAAACGCAACATTAAGTACCAGGGCTGGGTGCGGGGAGATGCAGGCACTCAGATGCCCCATTATGATGAGAAGGAATAAATTATATTTCTTTTTTCTAAATGGTGTTTGAGAGCAACATCAATAGCAGCTTGAGATACTGAGGAGACTGTAAGAAAAGCATATTCCTGGGTTGGGGCATAGAAACATGTGCTTTCTGCACAGCACCATGAACACGGACATCATGTCAACCCTGCCTAAGGGTTTTTTTTAAAGCACTTCGGGTTTTGTTTTTATGTTAAATGACCAACTCAGGGTTTTGTTCAGCTTTTATTTTTTCTTTAGCCTAGGAACTCTATACCCCTTGTTCATAGGCACACAGCATCCCTTCCTGGGTACCTTCCCTCTACTTAGGCACCCCAAGCAATGGCTACCCCCAGGCAGGGCGTGAGCATTGAAATAACCAATTCATACGCTATTTGAGTAGGATAGCCTGATTTTTAGCCTGATGGGAGGACTGGGGGCAGCAGAGCTGTGCTGTGACCACATCTCCTTGCAGTCCCCTGCTCACATGGAGGGATGTCCAGCACCTCCTGGTCAGGACATCACGGCCAGTACACCTGCGGGCAGCCGACTGGAAGACCAACGGAGCAGGGCATAAAGGTGAGGTGCCGTGGGATGGCGAAAACAGCATCCAAAGGGAAATTAAAGGCCCCCAGATCCAGGGGATTCACACTGGATGGGTGCTCACAACTGGGTTGGGGACTCTGCTGTTGGGGGAGCTTTGCAGCCTTACTTGGTGGAGGTTTGCCACCTTCACATGTGCGTTGTTGGGTGGTAGTGGAGTGACAGGACCTGAGGGAACAGCATGGTGTCAGGGCAGGGTCAGGTTGGATGTTTGGGAAATGTCTGCCCCAGAGAGTGGTGGGTGTGGAACATCTCCCCAGAGCAGTGGGCATGCCAGAGCTCAGGGAATGTTGGGACACTGCTCTCAGACATCAGGTTTGGATTTGGGTGGTCCAAGGAGTTGGACACGATAATTCCTGTGGGTCCCTTCCAATTTGGGATAATCTATGTCCATTGGGCTGCTCCTGGTTTTTTGTGTCACCAAGGTGATTTCAGGGTTTAAGTCAGGCAGATGCATGAGCTCCATGTGTTGGAGCACTTCCTGCCACAGTGGGGTCAGCTCTATGTCTTCCCAGATGGGTGGAGGATCTGAAACATCAAGACATGCGAGGAGCAGCATCTGTCATGCAGAGTAGAGATTTCTGAGTCTTCTCTCTTTCCAGTTAGCCATTTATATGGCTTCGGCCTGGTTGATGCAGAAGCTATAGTAGTGGAAGCCAAGAAATGGAAGACGGTGCCGCCTCAGCACGTCTGCGTGGGAAGCCTGGACAGGGTACCCAAGTGAGTGGTGGGTCTGGGACATGGTTCCTTTCAACTGGAAGAACTGAAGCTGCAATCCTGGGTCAATGTCAGCCTCCTGGACAAGCCAGGAGCATTTCTTCTGCTTTTGTTTTGTTGTTCATTTTGTGGCTGGTATTACTCTGTGATGAGATATTAAGGCCCAGGAGACCTTGTGGGCTGTGTTCTGGGACCAGCTCTGATGGTGGGTGATTTCTCCTGCCCCCTCTTGTGCTTAGGCATCCTGGGGGGTGACCAGGCTCTGTAGTGACCCCTGGATTCCTCAGGGTTGTTGGGATCTGCTGAGACAGAGCAGAGCCTCCAACCATGGCACCACCTAGCCTTGCAGTGAGCTGTTCAGCAGGAAAGCACAGTTTCTTTGGAGAGCATCAAGTATGCAAAGCAGGAATGGATTTGGAGCCAAGTGTGTTCATGAAACTATTTATCTGATACAGACACTAATTACAACCCAAGGAGGAATGCTGCACTGATAATTATAATAAAAAAGTGCCCTTGCAACCCATAAAGCATAGATCTTAGAAGCAGTTCAAAAGCATCTCGTTACCATCAGGCAATTCAGCAAATCCCCCTGCTAGGACAATGCATTGAAACGGAGGAGGAGATAATTCGCCACTCTTTGCTGTAAAGCGGTAGGAGTCTGGGTTTAAACACAACTGAGAAGAAATGGGGAAACACAGCACCAGTAGGGCGCCAAGGGAAATACTCCCAAATACTTCCAAACATGAGCATTAAGCCCTTAATCCATCCATCTCTAGGCAGAACTGAAGTGCATTTGGGTGCCCAGCTCCCATCAGTGGGATGGTACCCAGTTCCCATCAATGGGACTTTGATGCCCCAACCCTTCTGGCCTGTAAAAAAGGTGTGAGCCTCACAGTGTGAGGGCTCAGGATTTGCATCACCTTCCATTGGTTACCATTGCATCCCGGCAGGTACATCCGCCCAGACCACGTGCTGCGTGCCAGCACCCTGAGCAGTGCCTGCAGCGAGCAGCGCGAGCAGCACGTGCTGTACCTGGAGCACGTGGTGGTGCGGCTCAGCATCGCGCACCCACGCCGTGGGGACCTGCAGATCAGCCTCGTGTCTCCAGCAGGGACCAGGTCACAGCTCCTGGCCAGGAGGTAAGAGCAGCCACACTGAGCTGTGCTTGATGCTTGGAGTTTTTTGTGGGGAGACCTTTAGCACATCTTGGTTGCAAAGGGATCCGTACATCCTGGGCCTGTGCAACAATACCAAATGCACCCTTCATTCCACACCTCCCTTTCCTGATTGAATGAAACCTGTGTGGCTTTCCTTCTCCTGTTGCAGAGTGTTTGACCATTCCAATGAGGGTTTTAAGGGCTGGGAGTTCATGACTGTGCACTGCTGGGGCGAGAGGGCAGCCGGCGAGTGGACACTGGAAATCCAGGACACGCCGTCCCAGGTGCGCAGCCCCACCGCGCAAGGTAAGCGCCCGCACTACCACCTCCCTCAGGCTCTTTGCCCCAAATTTCATTCACCCCAAACTTTTAGATCTCAGATCTTTTACCCAAATTCACCCAAATTTCCAAGAATGGGTGTAAAAGCCAAGCCCTACTACACAGAGGCTGGGCTAAGCCGGCAGCAGGTTTTCTCCCTCTGGCAAATTTGCTGCAACCGAGAGCGAGGTTTCCAAAATTAAACTGTAATGAGTCCAAAATGAGGAAACCCGAGAGCTGTAATTGTTGTTTGTTTGTTTTGCTGTGCTGCTCGAACATCTGGAGCGTGGGATGGTTGTGCAATGGCGCAAGGGGACAGTGCCCTGTGGGTGCAGACGAGCGTCCTGACTAAGCTGCTACCACACAGGCTGAGGGGGACTGTCCCCAACTAGAGCCTCCCAGGTGTCCCCATCCTCAGCTCCAGTCCTTGTCCCCTTAGTGGCCAAGGAACTGGGCTGGTGGGATCCAGCCTCATGGGAAGGGGATGTGGAACATAAAGTATCATGCCCCAGGCTGGTGTGCCATATGGGGGTGTAAAAATTCGCATTCTCATTGATAGAAAGCCAGGAGAAAATTAAAAACCTCACCCACGCTGCTCTCTGGCAGGAGGAACACATGGGGGCTCATTGTGTAGAAGGTGTTGATGTTTGCTGCCTTGGCCTGAAAGCTTTTGAACTCATTGGAGCAGCAGCAAAACACCCCCAGAGCTGCTTTCCTCCCGTATTTGTGGTTCTCAGCTGGTATAATGGAATCAGCTCCATGCGGCTGCACGCTGCCCCAGGGCTCTGCCTTACCTGGCTGTGTGGAATAAACCCCACATGAGCACATAAAGTCACCCCTGAGGGACCTGCAACAGTGTGTTTGAAGCAGAGTGCGCAAAACAGAAGGGAATAAAGATGAAGGGGAAGAAAGGGAAGAGATGAACGTGGCCAGGGCTGGGATCTTTCCCTTCACCACCACTCACAGCCCAGTGCAGGGCTGACATTTGCTGGCACTCATCTACTGAGATGGGAGGCAAAACTTTAAAGTCATTTTGTTTTTTTTTGTTGGATGAAGGTTGTGACTGAGTTGTCCTTGCTGAGGGCACCTGAGCTTGCCCTTTTGCCGGCTCCACACAGTCCATGCTGGATGGAGCAGGTGGCTTCTTGCCTTCCTGCCTGAGAACAGAGTGTAAAGCACCAAGAGCCAAAATATTTGTTTGAAATCATTAAGCCCTTCTTGGAAACGCGGGGATTAGTGGTTAAAACAGAATGCACCACAGACTTGAAGTGACTTGCATTGATCAAGAATTGCAACAGAAAGAACTGCTGGGAGGGAGCAGCTGTGTGCTCTGAATGGTCCCAAAGCCATGCGGGTCAGGGCAGGACACCCATGAAGAGCTGTCCCTGTTGGGGCTGCACCCGTTGCACACTGGGGACACTTTCAGTGAACAGGGGTAAAATTTGGGGTGTGGGAATCAGGCACCCACGGTATTTTAGGTGATCATAGAATCACTCAGGTTGGAAAAGGCCACTAAGATCATTGAGTCCAACTATTGACCCATCCCGACCATGCCCTCTAATCTTGTCACACACCAAGCTCAGCCCTGAAGCATGGGACAAAGCAAACACTGTGTGGGAATCTTGGTGTGATGGCACGCATACCCCACAGGGAAGCTGAAGGAGTGGAGCATCCTCTTCTACGGGACAGCTGAGCACCCCTACAACACGCCAGGGGCCCCCCAGCCCCGCACAAGGACACTGGAGGTATTGGAGATGGAGCCGTCGAGGGCTGCCTTCCTGCAGAGCCAGGTGGAGATGGCAGAGGAGGAGGAAGAGGAGTATGCAGGTAAGCGCCTTGAGGTGTCCTTCCCCCCAAGGTAACCCCAAAAATCTGAGCTGGGATAATAAGGGCGAGGTGGGGGAGTGGGGAGGAGCAGTGCTTGTGGCTGAAGCGGGGCAGCAGGACGGTAAAATTAGAAGGTAGAAAAACAGCACGCTGGCGCTCCCACCACAAATTGATGGTGGAGGCGTCTGGCGAATAAAAAAACAAAGATCTTCTGCTCACCTCCCCCTGGAGCAAACAATAAAATGTGTCCTCTTCCCTCTGTCTGTCTGTCCCAGATCAGGGGGAAATTCTGTGCTGGGAGCATCCCCGCAGCCCCTGGACTCTGTCCTTGTGCCAGAGCTGCCAGAGCTGCTGACTGAGCTGCCATCTCCCACCAGGTCCCTGCCACCCCGAGTGCGGTGACCAGGGCTGCGATGGCCCCAGCGCCGATCAGTGCTTGAACTGCATCCACTACAGCCTGGGCAGTGTGAAAACCGGCAGGTGAGAGCCTGCGGGGTGCTTGCATGGAGCAAGAAGCATTAGGGAGAGAAAACAGAGGCAGGAAGCATGGGAACCCCTGCCCTGGGGTAGGGTGCCATGGGGGAAATGGAGCCAGAAGGGTAAGTCGTGTTTGTCAGCTTTGTTGGCCAGAGCCACTGATGACCAAAGGATGTATGGCTGAGGTGCCAGCTGGCACCTGAAGTTGGCTTTGCTATGATGGCCATGGGGCTGGGCAACCCCAAAACATGAGTGGCGATGGATGGGCAGAACAAAACCAAGCTCACCCTAAGGCTCAGTCCCTCTGTTCCATCCCCAGGATGTGCGTCAGCTCCTGCCCAGCAGGGTTCTTTGGCGACAAGGCAGCGCGGAGGTGCCGGCGGTGCTACAAGGGCTGCGAGAGCTGTGTTGGTCGGGGCCCAGGGCAGTGCACAGCGTGCAAGAGGAGCCTCTACCACCACCCTGAGATGGGTGCCTGCCTGCCCCTGTGCCCTCCCAGCTTTTACGCCGATGAACGTAAGGATGCTCATAAATGGCTTGTGTATCATAGGGCTAAACCCTGCGTGCATTCATGCTCTTTCCATGGAGAAATTCTCTTTCAATAGAGAAAACACTGATTTCCAAATGCCAGCTCAAGTGCCACCAGAATGGAGGAAGGAGGTGTGCGCAAGGGGTACAAAATGCATTCAGAGCTGTTAAATAAGGGCAGTTGTTAATAGGGCCATGCAGCTCTGCCTGCAAATCCCCATCCAGGTTTTGTCCTCACTCACTCTCCTTGGTTTTTTTTTTGGTTTTTTTTTTTTTTTTTTGTATTTTTTGAAAGGTCAGAAACGCTGTCTGAAATGCCATCAAAGCTGTAAAAAGTGTCTCGGCGAGCCGGATAAGTGTACTGCATGCAAAGATGGGTTCAGGTAAAATACCAGAGCTTGTACCTTCAGCACCGAGGCCTGTGTTTTAAATTTGGGAAATGGATGAGCAGCCTGCCCATGGGGGAAAATTAGAGAATCATTAGTTAAAGACTTCAGATCCTGCTTTGGAGGTTGTGCCGCAAAATGGTGCAAAGGGAATGGAGAGGCAGCACTTTGTGTCTCTTTGGAAGATGGAAAGCACCCATGGGGATGGTTCAGAAGCACCCATCTGAATTCAGTGGCATCTAACACAAGGGAAAGAGCAATGAAAACATTTGCACCGCACACTGCAAACCACATATGGGGCAGCCTGACTGTGTGCTTTGTGCAGGGGCTGCAGGAACTAGGGACGGGCTGCACCAGGTCCCCAGAGCCAGGATGTGGGTATCAATGTTCTCTGCTTTCCTGTCAGCTTGGTGGGAGAGAGCTGCGTGCCTGAATGCCAGCCTGCCATGTACCTCAGCCGTGAGCACCGGCGCTGCGAGACCTGCCCTGCTGGCACAGGTACAGCCTTCATCCCCAGCATCTCCCTGCAAAAAACCCAAATCTTTGCACATAACACACAGGTGCCCACAACACCCAGGGCCGTGCTGGCTGGGGCAGGAGGGGAGCAATTCCCAAGCGAGGAAGAAAAATCACAGCACAGGGAGGCTGTGGGCTGCATTATTTTCCCTGCAGCCATCCTACTGAATAACCGCGTCCATAGGGAAATGCCTGGAGGAACCCTGGGGACAGAGTGCTCCTGCACACAGTGCAGGTGCTGGGCTGTATTCCTGCTGGAAAGGCTTGTAGGGAGTTTTTATATTTTGATTAGAGCCATTCTTTATTTCCTGATCCCTCCGAATCCAGGTGCTGTGGTTTAATAAGGTTGCGGGGGAGGCAGTAAAACCTTCTCAGTGATGGAGGATGGCTCTGTAGCCCTTAAAAATGTCATGTGCTCAATGTGTGCTGTCCCCAGGGCTGGGGACATCCACTCAAGTCCCGAAGTCACTGGACGCCCCCTTTAAATTTTGCCTTTTTTGCTGTCTCCGTGTCACATTGTTTTCTATGGTTAATGTTTGTGCCTGTTCTTGAAATCATCATAGATCTGATGATAATATGATCTCCAGACAATTCATGTTCAGTCATATGAATCTCACTTATCATGCACAGGCAATTTCCTAGGGCTAAATCCAAAATATTTATTGATCTTGTTGGCAAGCCTGGAAGGAAACGGACTCTTAATCCCTTTAGAAAATTATTTTCCTTCTAATTCTTATTCTGGGCAGTGTAAATGCACTTCCCATCATTATTTTTCAGGTCTTTCCCCCTCTCTTTTTCCCATATAACCATTTCTCATGCACAATGCATGGAAGGCTCCTAATGACAGCACAGCCACAACACATGGACACCATACATCTCCCTGGCTGCATTTTGCATCTGCCTTTCTTTCCCATGCATCGCACTGAGCAGGGTGGGAAAATCAAACTGGTGTATGCATGTCTGGGGGCAGGAAGGGATGCTTGGAGGGAACAGAGGATTTTGATACAAGGGCTGCCAGGGCAGGATGTTGGGCAGGATGGGTTTTTGGGGTGTGAGCAGCATGCAGGACTCCACTGGCACAATAAGCATCTTGTTCATTCCCAAGTGGGACTGAGATGTGAAGTGGCTTCTGTCCCCTGTCCTGCAGGACCCGGTGAGGATGACTGCACACCCTGTACCCCCGACAGCCCTGCACCTCACTGGCGCTGCGTTCTCGCCTGCAGGGAGGGCTTCTATCCTGCTGACAGCCACGGGCTGCCCAACAAGGTCTGCAAGAGGTATGGACCTGGTAAAAGAAATAAGTGACGATGGTGAAAACAGCTTGCAGCTGGAGCTGTTTATGGGGAAATCAAACAAAAAGGGGAGGAGGGAGCCAGCTCTGCACATCCCCTCTGCCACCCAGCCAAGGTGCCCTGGGGCTATATGGAGGGGCTGAGCCCCGGCCCCAGGCTCTCTCGGCAGTGTGGGAGGCAGGGCGATGTTGAGCACGTGTTCCAGCTCTCAGCAGAGTCCCTGCCCTGCAGCCACAGTGTTCACCCACCCCAGCACCCAGCACGGGGCCTGGAGGTGCCGCAGGGCAGCAATTTGGCTGCACTCCCCATGGGGCCGATGTGCAAGGGAGGGTTGGAAGGCAGTGTGGTTTTCCGAGGCACAGTGTTTCAGATTTGCAGATTTCCACCTCTTCTGCTCTGCTGCCTGCAGAGCCCAGCTTTGAAGCAGCAAGCAGCACAGTGTGGTCTCTCCCCAGGTGCGATGAGCACTGCTCTGCCTGCGAGGGCTCCAGTGGGAACTGCGTGCGGTGTAAGGATGGCTTCAGCCTTCTTGGTGGCTCCTGTGTGACCAACGAGACCTGTACCAATGGTGAGTGGCACCGATGGCCTGTTGCAAAAATGAGGGGTTTGGGGGATTCCCTTTATAGTGTAGATAGAGCTAACGGCAGCTGGGCTTGCTGGGGTGAGGGTGGCTGGCAGAGCTGCTGGCTGTCTGCCTGTTGCTCAAATGCATCCAAGCGTTTACCCAAGTGTTTATTCTTCATTCTGCATTAGTCTCGGGGCTAATTCTCCCCCTTGCTGCAAAGCTTCTTTCTTCCTTCATTAAAACCATGTGAAAGATGCCCTGAAAAAGCAACGCCTTTTCCATTCTCTCTTCTCAAACACTGGAACGAATTGCACCGCCTGTTACGTGCGATGTTTGTTTATTTAAAATGTTAATCTGCTCTCATTTTCTCTTGTTCCTCGCCCGGCCTCCCAGCTGACAAGACTTTCTGTGAGATGGTGAAATCAAACAAGCTCTGTGAAAAGAAGCTGTTTGTGCAGTTCTGCTGTCAGACGTGTCTTATGGCCGGGTAAAGTCCAGTGGCCGCATCCAGGACTTCCACCGACTGCCAGCCCGGTTTTGCCAAATGTTTAGGACAAAAGTTTTATTTTTTCAGCTTTGGGAGAGTTTACATGGTGCTGTCGTAAGTTTGATGGCTTTAATATCACTGTCAGCTTGTTTCTATAGCAATACGTTAAGCAGAGAGCGGATCGTAGCCTGAACGATGGAGACCTGAAAGGCCCCAGGCAGGCAGTGATATTAATACTCTCAAACACTCCTCATGAGCAGGGAGCAAGGCATGACCCGTGCACCCAGGTTTGGTTCTGCACAGAAATCCTACAGACGTGTGCTTGGAGTGGCCGAGGGGACATGGGACAGCACACACATGCGGGTCTGACCCCACTTTGTGCTCGGTGACAGCCCCAGAGACCTGCACTGCTGCCAGCCAGCGCCGTGCTCCATACCCATGTGAAACGACGAGCGGGCACTGCCTGGAGCAGGCTCTGTGCTGCTCTGCCACCCCGTTCGGATCCAGCTGCTTCTCCCTGACTGTGAGTGTGGCAACGACTGGAGCTCCGCAGAGCAAAGCCCCTTGTGTGCAGGCAGAGCCGGGTGCCTGCAGGGAGGGTTCGTCCACACGGAGCAGCGTTACGGCAAAATGCATCTTCCTCCCCAAACGCCGAGTCTCCGTTTAGTTGGGGAAGGAGCACCGTCCTTCCTCTCGGAGGTGGTTTCCCAGTTCATCTCTTCTAGCATTTTGCATCACTATCCTGCCTTTTGCCGGGATACCTCCCAGCCACGGCAGTGATTTTCTTTCCCCTCTGTTTCCAAAAGAGACATTCCAGGGATCTGGCCAGGAAACACTCAGTTCCACAAACCCTCCCCCAAACAACCCTCTCCATGCTCTCTCTTCCTAGTATGTCACGTGGTGTTTATACAATTGTGTTTAAAATATCCTTGGCTATGTTGTTTTACAGATTTTTTTAAAAATAACTTATACAGTCCTTGTTTTTCTCTGTAGACTATTTTTTTTTTATATGGGGAGTGGGGAATCTTTGGTGTCCTTCATCCTTCTCCTCTCCAACCTCAGAGATGCTCTTTTTAACAAAACATCCACAGTATTTCCCTATGCTGCATGTTCTGATTTTCACTGTTGATAGATTGAATGAGTTAAACCTTTTGCCAGTGAAACACGCAGTGTAAATCAACGCTGGTTCCTGTTGGAGCTGGGCTGATCCCTGCTTGTTCCCCATTGCCACGCCACGCCCTGTGCAGGCTTGCCTCTGTGGGGCGAAGAGGGGAGAGCCTCGCCTGAGAGCCTTGGGTGAACTGACCTCTAAGTTAATAAACTATTGATCTCCCCTGAGCTACGGATCTGTGCTTTTTGCAAATCTGTGCAGCCACTGCCCTGTCTGGAGGCAGCTTGGGGTGGTAAGGCAGCATGTCTTGTTGGTTTGCTGTATCAGATCCCCCAATCAGCCCAGCACCTGCAAGAGGAATGGGTCTGAGCATCTGCTGCATGTGCAAAAAGGTCACATTAATTCTCAGAAAGACCTTCTGCTTTCAGACCTTTTGCTCTCCTGAACGGTCCCTGTGTGAGGCTGGGCTCTGTGCTTTGGTGCACCCAAGCCCCTCTGGCTGGGTGTTAGGGGGCGCTCAGCTGCACATGGGCTTCCCTCCAGCTGAGCTGGCAGGGGGCTTGCTCTCTTCCCACCCATGATCAGAGCATCCTGCAGCCCTGCTGCCCACACCGCAGCTCACACACCCTCCCCTCCTTGGCTGGGAGCAGAGGAAGCTCTGGAGCCTGTTACTGTGTTTGTTTTGCAGGGATTAACTGTGGGCCAAGTGCCCAGGGTAGTGCCTGGGTATCTGGTACTGAGCTATCTAAGTATGAAAAAGGAAAAAACAGCCCTCCCAGGAGGGGCTTATAGAATATCCCAAGTTGGAAGGGATCCACAAGGATCACAGAGTCTGAGAGAAGATGCTTCCTCAGAGCTATGCTGCTGTGGGCTCGTGCATTTCACAGCTCTTCATATTTATCAGAGGATAGACGGGACTGAGCCAGATGATTTATCACACACTGATTCCTTTTGCTGCTCTGGGATCCCCCTTTTGGTCTCAGGCCAAACCAGAGGTCAGAAGTGGGGTGAAATGCTTCTGGCTTCTGCCACTTTGGTCGTAAAATAGCAAACTTCCAATTCCGTTGCTGTGTCCCAGTCCCAAGCATTGTGTCAGCTCTGACTTCCAGTTCCCTGGCTCTCAGCTCTGCCTGCAGTACTGCTCCATGGTATATTTAGATGCACCGAAATGCTGAAAAAGAAAACAGGAAAGAGAACAAAATTTACCCTTACATCCTTGGCACAACTTAAAGTATGAAAATACAGCCTAAGTGAGGCAATGCAATTGCAGATGACCAAATCCCCAGCAGTCTCAGCTTTCTGCTGCCCTTCAGTCTGCAGGGAAAGAGAAACGAATTCTACAAGTTGAGTTCATGTAACAGCATCAGCTCCCAGTGTTTCCCAGGGCTGCAACTCCCTCAGAAATCATTCCTGGAAAGTAATAACATTCAGATTATTTATCTAAGCTATTGCAATGCTCGCTCAGAGCTATTAAAGTCTCTCTGCCACTGGTATGTGCAGAAGATCAAAGTGTCTGTCTCTTCCAGATAAACGAATACTTGGGCAATTTATTAAAGCACATTTCTCTATTGTCTCTTGGCACCAATGACTGAACTATAATAGCTGTTTTCTGGAAAATCTTCTTAGGGCAGCCTGAAGCCCCACTTGCTGTTTGGCTGTGAGGCTGCATTCACAGCCATCTGCTGCCTGGTGGCTGACAAGTGGGGAGCACACATCTTACAAATCATTGCTTTGACTTTCCAGTACAAAGGAGGAGCTTTCAAGAGCTCGTGTACAGCATCTGAAACCAAGACTGTCTGCTCTCAGTTACAACTCCGCTACAGCCTTAGAGCTGAGGCATACAGCTGTATTGTGCTAAAGGAGAAAGGTCCACATTTTATTTGCTTTCCAGGAGGCTGAAGCATCCCCTTTCAATGCCTGCCTGACATGACTGAAGGCAATGTTTGTTTTTACCATCCCGTGATTCCTGAGTCAAACTGCGCTGCTTATGATATTTGTCTCTCTCTCCTCTCTCCTAACTTCTTTTAAGGAGATGCAGATGTTATGAAAACCTGACTATGTGCTTTCCTGTGTCACTTGTGGTGTCAGGTAGTGGTGAGGGTGATTTTGATGCAGAGCTGACCCCAGGAGCTGACCCCAGCCAGAACAGATCCCGTGGAACAAGCAGGGCAATGCTTTAGATGCTCCCAGAGTAAGTATGAGCCACCACTGTGTGCTGCCAAACATGGCTGCAGCATTTCAACTATTGCAGCATCCTCTGGGCTTGCAGAAACGTCACAGCTCATGAAGAATCCCTTCCCTAGATAGCAGCAGCGCAGAAATCATTCTGTCTCATCTCATGGAGGGAGCCTGCAGTGCTGGAGGAGCCTTCTGGAGTCACACGGGTGGTGGTGACATTCAGCAGGACGTGGGGACCCGGGGCTGGCCGACCTGCTTCCCTTCCCACGTCCCCTTCAGTTCATGCCGGCTGTGCTCACACATCCACACAGCCCAGATGAAGGTGCGGCAGTGTGCCAGCCGTGGGCCTGGTGATTCGTTCCCGCTGAAGTGAAGCTGCAGGCGGAGCCACCCCAGCTCCCCAGGGCTGTGCTCAGCTTAGCAAAGCCATAGGGCAAGGGAGAGGGCAGCCTGGGACTGAGAGGGCACAGAGGTGGCCCGAAATGCTTCCAGCTGAGTTGGCCACAGGCAGAGGCGTGCATAGGACATCAGTTCCCTCTGCTGACAAGCTGCCGAAGTGCCGCAGTGCTGCAGCTGTGATCACAGGAGAGTTCGACTGAGCGTAAGGAAAACGTGGCTTTTATTTACAGTAAGGGCAGCGATGCTTTGGCACAGGTTGCCCAGAGAGGCGGTGGATGCTCCCCTCTGCAGCACCCAGCTTAGTCCCTTCCCACCCAACCACGCTGTGATTCTGTGATCCGTGCGCTTCCGGGACGTTCAGGAAATCCACCTCCACGCAGCTCCTCCCCAGCCGCCATTTTGCGGAGGAGGAGCTGAAGGGAGCAGAGCACGGCCCACTCCCTCTCGGCGCTCGGCTGCGCGGCCTGGCGGGGCTCGGCTGCGCTCGGCTGCGCTCGGCTGTGTTCGGCTGCGCTCGGCTGTATTCGACTGCATTCGACCGCGCTCGGCTGTGTTCGGCTGCGCTCGGCTGCTCGGCGCTCGGCTGGCTGAGCGGTTCGGCGGCGTGGTGGCGGCTCGGCGCGGCCCGGCGGGATGGTGAAGCTGACGGCGGAGCTGATCGAGCAGGCGGCTCAATACACCAACGCCGTCCGAGACCGCGAGCTCGACCTGCGGGGTGCGACGGATCTGCCGGGGGGAGCCGTGCCTGGGTTTGGGGGGGGGGGGAGGGACGGGCCTGTGTGGGAGCGGGGTGCGCGGGAAGGGCCGCGCTGAGGGGCGCCGGGCCTGCAGGGAACGGGCCGGGCTGCGGGAGCCGCTGTGCGGCTGTTGCGGCTCTTCCCGCTCGGATCTGCCCCCAGGGCGGCACTGCATCTCCTCCTTTCTTTCCTTGACCTGTGGGCGCTGATTCCCTCCTTGCTTTTCTCCCCACCCAGGGTATAAAATCCCCGTCATTGAGAACTTAGGGGCCACGTTGGATCAGTTTGATGCGATTGATTTCTCGGATAATGAGATCCGGAAACTGGATGGGTTCCCTCTGTTGAGAAGGCTGAAAACTCTTCTGATGAATAACAACAGGATTTGGTACGTGGTTGTGTTGTGATCCGACGGGACCTGGGGCAGACGAGAATGCTTTTGGGAGGAGAAGTGTGCCTGCACCTTTCAGTACTGGATAGGAGTAGAAACGTTGGCTTTATGGGCAAGAAATAACGCTCAGTATTTTCTTCAGCCTTCAACTAGCCAGCTTTGTTCATTGCAGAGTTCTGCCCCAGGTCTGTGTCCCCTTTTCAGACAGGACAATGAGATGCAGGGTCTGGAATTTGAGTCTTTGGAGTTTGTTCACTACTCCCATAGAATCATAGAATCACAAGGTTGGAAACGATCTACAAGATCATCTAGTCCAACCATCCTCCCATTACCACTGCTACCACAAGCACTAAACCAGATCTCGCAGCTCCTCATCCAGACACCTCTTGAACACTGCAAGGGACGGCGACTCCACCACCTCCCTGGGCAGCCATTCCAGTGTTCAACCACTCACTGAGAGAAAAAATTCTTCCTTATGTCTAACCTAAACCTCCTCTGGTACAACTTGTGGCCATTTCCTCGGGTCCTGTTTGTTGTCTGTGAAAAGAGGCCAACCCCCTCCTCATCACAACCTCCCTTCAGGAAGTTGTAGAGTGCAATAAGGTCTCCTTTGAGCCTCCTCTTCTCCAGATTGAACAATCCCAGCTCCCTCAGCCACTCCTCATAAGATTTGTGTTCCAGACCCCTCACCAGTTTCACTGCCCTTCTCTGGACACATTCCAGGGCCTCAATGTCTTTTTTGTAGTGAGGGGCCCAAAACTGAATGCAGTACTCAAGGTGCAACCTCACAAGTGCTGAGTACAGGGGGATGATGACCTTCCTGCTCCTGCTGGCCACACTATTTCTAATGCAGGCCAGGATGCCATTGGCCCTCTTGGCCACCTGGGCACACTGTCGTCTCATGTTCAGAGACATAGAGACACACAGATAAGGATACCTGCAACTGAATGAAGGGCGCTGCCTTGCTGCACCGGATGCCCTTACAGTGGCTGCTGGTGTTTTATGCTTGCTTTGTAAAAGCTGATGCTAACCCCAACTTCTGCTGGTGTCATACTTGGTTGTGTTTAAGTGAAGTGCTCTATATTGGCACAGCTGCCCATGGAGGTGCTGGGGTCACTGACCCTGGAAGTGTTCCAGAGCCATGGAGATATGGCACAGAGGGGTGTGGTTTAGTGGGCATGGTGGGGGTGGGCTGGTGTTGGGCTGAATTAATCATATCATAGAATCACAGAATGGCCTGGGTTGAAAAGGACCACAATGCTTATCCAGTTCCACCCATGCTATGTGCAGGGTCACCAGGCACCAGACCAGGCTGCCCAGAGCCACATCCAGCCTTGAATGCCTGCAGGGATGGGGCATCCACAACCTCCTTTGGCAGCCTGTTCCAGTGCGTCACCACCCTCTGTGTGAAAAACTTCCTCCTAATATCCAACCTAATATGAATGATCTCAGAGGTCTTTCCAGCCTTAATGATCCTGTGATTTTCATATTTCTCTGTATGTGTTCATCATTGTTAATTTCCAGCCAAAGGTGAAATCTTTGTGTTTGTGTTCTTCTCTAGTCGGATTGGGGAAGGACTTGAACAAGCTCTGCCCAGTCTCACAGAGCTCGTTCTTACCAACAACAACATATCTGAACTGGTAAGTTATTGATGCAGAATAAATCTTAACAGCTCTAAATTGTGTGTTTTTGTCATCTTTCCAATTAGTCTTTTTCTTCAGAGTGATGTGAATTTGGTAGTCGTGGTGGTTTATGTATCTTAATGAACGTGATTTGCAGCATGCAGTGGAGCAGCAGTCAAAGTCTCGGTGGGCTTCCTGCTAAACTAACTGTAGTAATTCTAGTTGGTCTCTAAAATGCAAACGAGAGTCCACTAAGGAGCACTCACAAAAGTGACCTCAGTACCTTGAAATGAAATATTTTAGGTCTAATTTTGGACTGAATAAACAGCTTCTGGTTTTGTTGTTGTTTTTTTTTTTTTTTTAATATATGAAAATTCACTTCAAACTTTTTTTGTCTTTTATTCAAAAGTAGAAAACTTAAGAGCACAGTTTCTCATATTCTTCCTTTGAATTGATTAATTCATAAGCGAAGAGCCTTTGTGTAACTTTATTGATTTTGTTGCTGTCCTATGTGTAGAAATTAAACAGATTTGAATCCTTTATGTGGCAGTTATGCAGATTTAATAGTTAGCAGGTCTGCTTGAATCTTACAATTCTTAGTTATGTGTTAAGACTGGAACTTGCTTTGTTACTGTGTCGTTTTTTTTCCCTTTTTCTGGGATGTGTGTTTTCCATAGTGAAAATCAAAACTCTTCAGTTCTAAATTGCATATAGTGCCATTAAATAGAACGCTGTTGACTTACTGCAGTCATTTGCCATTTTAAACAAGTAAGCTTGAAAGGAGTGGGAGATTTTAGTTCCTCTTTCAGAGCCAAGAGTTCAGGAGCTTTGTTCTGAAATATTTGATTGTCGTGAAATGGATTTAAGATTCTTACTCTGTTCTTCCCATTATACAGGGTGAACTGGATCCACTGTCAAGTATTAAATCATTGACTTACCTGAGGTATGTCATCTTGAAAAGAAAAGCAATTGTTTGTAATTTATTGTAACATATTTCAAATTAAGTAACTCTTTATGGCCTTTATTTGCCTTGTAGCATTTTGAGGAATCCAGTAACAAATAAGAAGCATTACAGATTATATGTTATCTACAAAGTTCCCCAAGTCAGAGTGCTGGATTTTCAGAAAGTGAAACTCAAAGTAAGTCTGTCACCTTCTGATTGAGCACCAGATGGAGACCTTTTCTCCTGTTAACTCTTGGAACAAGAGTGAAAACAATAAGCTTTTTGCCCCAGTTGTAGACTGTAGTGAAACTCTGTATCCTGTGAGGCTCTAAAACTGATGTTTCTCTTTGATGGTTTCACACTGTTAAGGATGTAGTCTGCTTCATTATTTTTAATGATGTTTTACTGCTGTTGTTTGTTTAGTCTGGCTCTTTTCTGGCTGGCTAATGGTGGTGGTAAGACAAACCTAGAGAAAGGAATGAGAGATCACAGCAGAGCCCACTGCTTTTCCTGTAGAAGCGTGGGGTTGTTATTTTAAGAGCACCAAAGTGATAGACCTCGAGTCTGAGTGTTTGGCAACGCGTTGGTGCTTGTTCTTACATCTGGTCTCCTCGTGCTGTTGTTCACTGAAGATGAGCCAAAGCATCTTTCTTTGCAAAGACAGCAGCTTTGCACAATGCTACGTTCTTAAATTAACTTTGTGTGTGTGGTATCGCTGTAGGAGCGACAGGAGGCAGAGAAAATGTTCAAGGGCAAACGGGGTGCACAGCTTGCAAAGGATATTGCCAGGAGATCCAAAACGTAAGATAAAACAAACACTTCCACTGGCATTCTCCTTCAGAAACACCACTTTGTGTGCAGCATTACGCACTGCACTGAGACATCCTTAGTTTTTGGATGGTGGTGAACACATCTCAGAAATCCTTACAGAAGATCTGTTTGGTCAGGGTGGATTGATATAGATCAGTAAGCAGGAAACTTTTTGGTTTTTTGCTCTTTGTTACTTTACTGCAAAGAGGGGGCCGTTGTTTGCTTGGTTTTGCTCTCTACGTGATTGGGAACTGAAAAATCTTCTGTTTTGCCAGTGACTGTGAACACTTGAAACTGTTAACAAATGGGCTCTCACTATGGTTTGTGAGTGGAAATGGCCAAGGTCTGCGATAGCTTTAGAGCAAATCAGTGAACTAAAGAGCCAGTAAACGTACCAAATGTCCATATGCAGCTGCAGGAGAGGTTGCAGGTCTCTGAAGCTGGGTCACTATTTCAGGAACTTCTTTCCAGCTGTGCACTCTGTGACTTCCATTTTCAGAGACAACAAATGTCTGTTTTCCTTCAAGCAGCAGCAGGTAACTCTCAACAGAAACTTCTAACATAGCCTTATGTACAGGTTGTCACAATATCCTATTAGACACATCAGAAAAGGAAACCCAATCTCATTTACTCTTTCTTTATCCACTCTGCTTTTTGTAATGGTAACAGACCTCCTGTGTGTTCAACAACATCCAAATCCAACAGCTCTTGTCAGCTGCTTAATTATAAAGTGACAGTCTGCCTCTTGTTATGAGCAGATGAAAAGATGGGAGGGGGGATGGGACAGTGAGGACAAGTGGTTGGTGTTTCTGAAGGAGGCAATTCATCACTGTATCAGTTTGTTAACAAAGATAAGATACTACACTTGATTGAATGAAATGCTTCCAAACCTGGTTTGGAAGTAAGAGAAGCACGCACTCCTCCCAGAGAGTAATGGTACCTCTTTGCTTTTTCCTCTGAAGCTTCAATCCAGGTGCTGGTCTGCCAACAGACAAAAAGAAAGCCGGGCCCTCCCCGGGTGATGTTGAGGCAATTAAGGTGAGTGTGCCACAGCAGCACTCAGAAGCAGAGGAAAACAGTTGTGAATCCCAACGAAGAAATGTTTCCTCCTCCTGGGCAATGGCTGACTGTTCAGAAGAATAGAACAGAGGGTCCTGTTTGTTCTAGGTGCTTTTTCTGTAACTTCTACTGTGTCATATGGAAAACTTAACTAAAACTTTGTTTTGAGCCTAGAGCTCACCCAGGACAGCTCAGCTGGGGGGGACAAGACTGTGCTTTGTCACTTGCAGAACCTTCAGGAGCGTAAAAGCTTGGCTTACCTTACCTGCAAAACAAAACCAACTTGTTACGTTTATTCTCAGTGTGCTGCACGCAAAGATTCACTGAGCTCCTTTGTCTCTTTTTCAGACTGCCATAGCAAACGCCTCAACATTGGCCGAAGTGGAGAGGCTGAAAGGCTTGCTGCAGGCCGGCCAGATCCCCGGCAGAGAACGAAAACCAGGTCACAGTGCTTCTGCTTTTCTTTCCGAAACAGAACCCCCCTTTTGATTCCTTCCTGTGATCTCAGCAAGGAGGTTTTGCTGGGAGGGAGTTGAGAAACCGCACGAGATCGATGTGATTTGCCGCTTGGGGTGGCTGAGGACCGCCTCCCTCGGTCCGTGCGTTCAGCACTCGCGCTGTCTGGCCGGCAGAGCGCTCACGGCCAGACCCGCGCCTCGCATGCAGCGCCAAAGCTCCCAGCGCGCTCATCGGGCTGCGTTCTGCTCTCTTACAGGCTCGGCCGAGGACGCCGAGGAGGAGATGGAGGAAGATCCCGTCCCCACCGGCTCGTAGCTCCCGCGGACACCGAGCTGCCGACGTGGCGCCGCGCCTCGCGTTGTGCCGCGCGTTCCGCGCCGCGTTCAATAAAGCGCCGTGCCCGCTGTGCCCGTGTGCTCCGCCTGCTTCCTGCATCCGGGGGGAAGGGCTTGTTCCGCCATTGGTCACTTCCCCTTTTCCTTCTTCTTCTCATTGGTCTACGCGGCCGCGACGTCATCCGTTTCGTTTCCTGATTGGCTCTCCGTCCGCGAGGCGGCAGAGGACGAGGAGGGCGGTGATTGGCGGCGGGGCGGCTCCCGGACGTGAGGCGGCAGCGGGGCCATGGAGCTCGGGGACCGCGGCGGGGCTGGGCCCGGCCCGGGGAAACCGGCGCTGGAACGGGAAGGCCTCGAGCTGCTGCAGCACACGGGTGGGGCTGGGGGTGGGGACGGGGAGCGGCGGGGTTTGGGGGCGAGGGGAGCGGGTGAGAACTGGGAGCGAGGCGGGGGGAGCCGGGCCTCGGGGGCGGCGGCGGCGTGAGGCGCCGGGCTCGGAGCCGCGTTGTCCGTCCTTGGGCGGCGTCGGTCCGTGCCGACGGGCTGCGAACGACGCGTCGTTCCCCTCCCAGTGGGCGCCCTGCTGTCGAGCTACGGCTGGTACATCCTCCTGGCCTGCGTCGCCGTCTATCTCATCGTCCAGAAGATATCCCCGCGATGGAGGGTGGTGCCCAGCAGCCAGCGAGGAGCAGCTGGAGCAGACATAGGTTTGTACGGCTCTGCGCGTGGTGATCGGCCTCTGGGTGCCCGCGGGGGCTGCTCAGCTGTCTGACAGCTGCTCGGTTCCACGCGTGCAGAATATTGCTTCGTGGCAGCGAGGAGCTGTTCAGGTGCTCTGCAGCGGGGGATTTTAGCACTGAGGGATACTTAGGAGCCCTCGTTACAAGAAATAGTCTGGGCTGTGTCTGCAGAAGGGCAGCGAAGCTGTGAAGGAGCACAGTCTTATGGAGAGCAGCTCAGGGAACTGGGATGGGTCTGTCTGGAGTAAAGGAGGCTGAGGGGGATCCTTATTGCTTTCTGCTGCTCCCTGCGAGGAGGGTGTGGTGAGAGGAGGGGTTCAGCCTCTGCTCCCAGGTAACAGCGATGGGATGAGAGGTGAAGTTCTTAAATTGCACCAGAGGTTGGATATTAGGAAAAAAAGCAGTGATGCGTTGGCACAGGCTGCCCAGGGAGGTGGTGAAGTCACTGTCCATGGAGGTGTTCAAGAGCTGTGGAGATGTGGCACTGAGGGACGTGGTCAGTGGGATGGGTTTGGGTTGTCTTGGGCTTGGTGATCTTAGGGGTCTTTTCCAACCTTAACGAGTCTATGATTGCAAGGCCTGCAAAATTGTACAGATCTTGTTGAATAGCAACGATAAGCAAACGTTAAACCAAAAGAAATGCCTCTAAAAAGTCTGTATTGCGATGGGATTGTGGCACGAAGTAATGAGGCTGGGAGAAAAGGAGCAGGGCAGTGCAGAGCAAGGGAATAACTGCTCTGACAGTGCAGGATTTTAGAGAGCCATGTGCTTTAAAGGAGCTGTGGTCAAGTATAAAAATAAAAGAGAATTCTCAAAGAAAAACAATAGCTAAAAGCTTGAAAAAAGCCAAACTTTTGGTTAATATTCATTGTCTCTGAATTATTCCTTCACAATTCCTGCTCCATTAGGATTGTGTACATTTGGGGTGTATCTGTCTCTTGCTTGTGTTGCCCTTTAAGTGTGGCAAAGGTTGAAAATCTTACAGGGTTACAATCTTGCCTCTCTTGAAGACTTGCTGCTGTAAATCGTGGCCTTTACTTATGGATTTACTGAAAGAAGAAGTGATTGGCACTAATCCCTCTGGCATGCTGGCCTCAGAAAATGTTACTTATACGTCTTTATTCTATTGATGGTCTTTTGCATTTATTTGGTTTAATTGCCAGATCTGCCTATAAAACAAAATTCCTGAAACTACGTAAATTTTTTTTTCACATTCATCGTTGGATGGTAACAAACACATAAGGAGTCAAACAAATGTTAGAGATACTTCAATAACTGGGAAAAAAAGAAAAAGGTAATATTTACCTTTTGGGTAGCATTTTTCTTTTAACTTCTTCATAGAATCATAGAATGGCCTGGGTTGAAAAGGAGCACAATGCTCGTCCAGTTCCAACCTCCCTGCTATGTGCAGGTCACCAACCAGCAGCCCAGGCTGCCCAGAGCCACATCCAGCCTGGCCTTGAATGCCTGCAGGGATGGGGCATCCACATCTCCTTGGGCAACCTGTTCCAGTGCCTCACCACCCTCTGACTGAAAAGGCCAATCTTGTAAAGACCAGTGATGAAGAGAGGTGGTTTCTTAATGTAGATTTCCTGAGGCTGACAGTTTTCTGTTGAGATATGTTTGACATTTGTGAGTAATTTCTCTGCTGATGGAGCATGTTAAATCTGCCACTGCTTTGCTGCTGTAACCCAAGCAGCAGTTCCAAGAAGGAGGAGGAGTGGATGTGGGCTGATTGCCTTCTGCTTCTGCATCAAACAAGTTCTGTGGATAAAAATGGAATTCCTGTGAAGCATGGATGATATTTCTGAAGTTACTTGTATTGAGCAAATACTTCAGAAATAGAAGCAAATATCCTAGAAGCTCGGATGTTAATTTTGCATGGGTTTGTTCCATCAGTGTCCATGTTTGTTAAAAGCCCATTAAAGTAATTGCTCTAAAAATATTCAAATATGAAATTTAAATCAGCATATGAGTTACTGTAAAAATCAGCTGCAAACTGAACTTGAGCTGTGATTTTCTGTGGAGCTGCTGCAGTGAGAGATGTGTGCCTTTGCTTATTATGGTTCTTTCAGGATACCATTCTATTTTGAACTGCTTTGCAAACTCTCTGACTATTCCCTAGAGCCTGACATGGTGGTAAGAAGACAAGAAGCTTTGCTGGCATCTCGCCTCAGGATGCAAGAGGAGCTGAATGCACAAGCAGAAAGATACAAAGAAAAACAAAGACAGGTAACTGGAGAGCATTTCTTTCTTTAACTCACTAACTTGTCATCAGGTGCTTTGCTGTTGTTGTAGAAAGCTGTATAGCATTCCAGATACCAGAAGAATGGGATCTCTCTGCTGGAATGGGGATGGTGGGATTCTTCTCCCTCCTTCACCTGATCTGCTTTTCATATGGCTTGATGCACTCTGTGATAACAGGCATTAGGGATCATGATGGCCATTTGGGGTACTTGTATGATGTGTTGACCTGAGGTCCTCCTGCTCTTAGTTAATTAGAGTGGTTGATATGTTTAGTGTTTTGCTCATTCTTGAAGTGATTAATGCTTCTCTGCAACAATTTGGCTGAAACGCTTTGGGCCTTGCTATCTTGGAGTTGTAAATCAGTGTAGAAAAGTGGATGTGATCAGCAAAACAGGAATATTGCTCATTAATCCTGGTTCTTTGATCTTTGCTTTTGCAATCAGCTACGAATCAGATTTCAGCTTATAGCTGACACTTCAAGAAGTGTAGCTGGCTATCTTGCTAATTTGAAAAGCACCTTTTCCTTTGTAGAACCCTTCACTGTGCATCCAGTGAGCATCAGATGCAATACTTAGTCCTTTTCATAGACTGATGATCTAAGCTTGCCACTCAGTTTTATTGTACCTTCAAGCATCAAGGTGTTGGAACAAGCTGCAGTCCCAATCTGTATGTACTGGGGAAGGAGAGGTTGCTATTCTGTCCTTGGGAAAGCTTGAACATTTAAAAAGTCAATGCTTCTGTAAGCTGAGATACTGCATCAGGTAAAGATGGATCCAGTGGCTTTTGTTTATCCTGTTGTAGTGTTTCTGTAGCAATGGCAATTCTGTTCATTCTAAAATCTTAGTCTGATGTGTCCTCGTTTCTCAGCTTGAAGAACAGAAGCGAAGGCAGAAGATAGAAATGTGGGAAAGTATGCAAGAAGGAAAAAGTTATAAAGGAAACCTGAAACTGAGTCAGGTAACAGCTGTGTTGTTAATCAGGTTACGTGCATGTAATTAGATTAGCTGAAGTTCACATTGACTGAATTCTGAATAATATTTGCTTTTGTGAACAGCAAGAAGCAGAATCTGGTGCCTCCACCTCATCAGCAGTCCCAAAATCTAAACCAAACAAGAAGCCCTTGCGAGGAGGTGGTAAGTATGAAACCCTTGAGGTGTTCTGATCTCGAGACAGAGCTGCGTGTAGCTCAGTGTACAGCTCATGTTGCTGTGTACAAAGCCATTATATAATTACCCATCATTTTTCTCTTATTCAAGGAGAAAACAAAATGTGCCTTACAAGTAAGTTCCTTAGCTCTACCCACTCAGCTCTACCTACTTGTGGTCTGTTTAAACTTTGGGCAGAACAGCAGGGAGCTCCCTCGTGCTTTTCCCCAGGGAGAGCCAAGCATTTTGGCCATAACTCACTGAGATTGTTGTGACTAAAACTACAGGTTCTTGCAGTACTTCTGGGACTCCTCCTTCACTGTTTGAAAGTCATATAATTTAATTTAGTCTGTCCTTCAGTCACCTGCAATAATAATTAAGTGTAAGAAGAAAATATCTTACTTTCTATTACGTAGATTCCGTCAATTGAAACATTTCATTAAGAAGAATGTGACCTTGTTTATCAGGTGTTGAGGTAACAACTATTGGATATACAAATCCTGCTGATCCACAGAATTGCTACCAACTCTGCAAGCCACCATTACTGTCTTACCACTAAGCTTAATGTCAACCACTGAAATTTGTCTTGATGGATTAATTAATTGTTGTCTGTAGCCTTAAATCCTCCACATAAGGATCACTGCTGTAAATCAGCTGTGCAGCTGCTCTCCTTTCTCTCCTCTTGGCCTAACAACTTTTGCTATACCCGCAATTGTTAATTTGTTTATTGTATTTTAATTATGATTTTTCCATAGTGGATTGGATTATACAGACAAACCTGAGTTGCAACAAGCTAAAAGGGAAATGCACTTAGGGTGCAGGAGTGGGTAAATTATATGATTGAATGTATTGAACCCTATGATCCTTGATTAAAGAATATTATACCTCAGTAGCAGTTCAGTGCTGAGAAGTTCTGCTTTGAGTATCCATACCAACAGCTGCTGGCAACGTTTGAAGGAACTGTCTGATAAATTGATTCATCCTATTATATGCAGTCGAGTGTCTGCTACTGTCCAGTATCTTTTGTAACTCTTGCACAGAATGTTGACCAGTACAGGGAATGAGAAATGCATGCTTTCCCTTAGCACATGTTTCCTTCATGTGCTAGGAAACATGACTGGGGCAGCTGGGCTGAGGCATCCTTCCAGATGCTACCTGTCCTAGTTTCAGCCAAAGCAGAATCTTGGCTCAACTAACAGATTACAGAATTAGAGGACTCTGATCTCCTCGTGAGTTAGCTAAGGATGAAGTGAAAGAACCATCTGTACTGTTCAGCTGCTGAATTAAGCTAGAAAGCAGAACTCAGCTAGTATGAGAAAAACAAACTTTAAAGACTCCTGAAGTATCAGAAAGACAGGTTGCTTTGAAACCTGCTTGTTAGCAAGGCTAGGAGCAGGCTTCCCACTTTCTTTTTCTTTACCTTGTACTGAGTGAAGATATTTGCCACGTCGTATCTTTCCAAGTACTTCCTCATAAAATGAAGTTGCCTATAGCTGTGGCAGGAGGAGGTTCAACTGAAATGGCTGTTTGCCTCATTGCACACATTTGCCTTTTCTTATTCATTTAGAAACACATCTTACAGTATTGGTGAGTTTTTGACCTTTAGAATATTCCATGCAGGACTGGAATAAAAGATTATTTGAAGATGGTGACAGAGTTGGAACAGGTTGTCCAAGGCTGTGGATGCCCATCCCTGGAGGCATTCAAGGCCAGGCTGGATGTGGCTCTGGGCAGCCTGGGCTGCTGGTTGGCAGCCCTGCACGTAGCAGGGGGTTGAAACTGGATGAGCATTGTGGTCCTTTTCAACCCAGGCCATTCTATGATTATTTTATGTCCTTAGCTGTTAGGGCTCTTGGAGGACAGATAAACCCTTACTGTTCTACTGCAACTGCAGAGCACCATTAAGGCTTTAATGCAGACTTAGAGGAATTAAGTGGCAATTAATTTCAATTTGATTTAATGGTCTTTAACGACTTTTACCGTTGGCACTGTAAAATAAACCTTCTCAAGCTTGGATAATTTCTCAGCTTTCATTTTCCTCATTTTTTCCTTGAATTGCTCTCTGTGCAGTAAGGTGCAAATAATTGTGAAATTTAATTGTGGCATTCCACGCGTGTTGGCAAATTCGTGTTGGATGTGACTGCTAATATGGTGGATTTCTCATCTGTCCTTCCAGGCTATAACCCCCTGACTGGAGAAGGAGGTGGAACTTGTTCCTGGAGACCAGGCCGTAGGGGCCCCTCTGCAGGTGGATGAGGCTAACCTGCCTGGGGTCCCTTCAGCTTAACCACTGTCTGCCTGCCTACAGTTTGCCTGTCACACTGACTCCTTTGGGATTTGTTTGAGCACAGGTGTTAACACAGATTTACACCATTTCTGAATATTAACAGCAGCTACACGAGAAAAATATCTGATCCTCTTAGAGAGGATGAAGGAAGAAATAATGTCAGTATAATTAGTCGCTTTGTTTTCTCTTTAGTGAGAAAGCAGTCTCCAGCCAGGATGGTCATTTGTGGTTGTGAGAGCTGGGTTCTATGGCTGACCATCCAGAAGTCTGGCCTCAAATAAATCAGTGTCTAGACCTCAGTTTAAAATGAGGGGATTCGCCAACCTTAGGCACGTGTAATGGGATTTGCTGTGTTTGGCTGGAAGATATATGGGAGGGAAGAATATTACCATTGGCAGACAGGTCCAATTTTAGAAGGAGGGACTTTGAGGAAACTGACAGATGTGTTGGGTTTGCACCAGAAGCTCCTTATTGTGGAAGAGTCTCTGTGACAAGCAGCTTTGTATGATGTTTTCCTTATAAATGGTAAACAAACCAATGAGGATGACTGATGCTAGACAGCAGATGAGGGTTTCTTGCTCTTCTTTTTTTTTTTTTTTTTTCAATTGCTTTGTAAAAATGATACAATTAAATATAATTGCAAACAAATAATGAATCTAGTATTTACAATCTTGTGGTTTTCTACAGCATCTTTTTATATGGAAGGCATATGTTCCAGTGCAATGAATGTGGATAAAGTGGAATGCTGATTGTATATGTGTGTAAAGCAAAACATGTGAGATCAAATGAAATCGTTTTCATTTGGTTATCTCCACAAACAACAGCTGTTTTGTTGGTTTGTTTTTAAGTGATTCCTTTGTTTTTTAACCATTTTGTTTTCCCTAGGTGTTCTGTGTTCCAAATGGTGCTTTCTAGGAGAATCACCTTCAGGTTAAGACCAAATCAAATTTCCTTAGGAAGTGGAACTCCCCATTCCCTTCCCCACCTCCAGTGATTGTGACGTGGGTAGGCTGGGTTAGTAGCTGTTAGGCACTTCATCCACAGCTGAATTTAAATGAAGAAAATAGACAACAAAGACTTTTGCTCTTAGCAGACCTGGGGGATCCTTTCCAAATTGCTGTTAACAAATACAGTCTGAGGAGGAGAGTATTCACAAGCATGGTCAGCTTGGACATGGTCAGCACTTTAAAAGGGGAAAGAGCAGCCCGGCCTGCACTGAGCCCCGTGTGGTGCCTTGTTTCCTGGCAGCAGGACTGCACACAGCTTTAGCCGTATGGTATCAGGGTTACACCTTGGGAATGCAAGGAACTTACTGTTCTGTTTTCTGTGCTGAAGGTGTCTCACAATGTGAATTGTTAGTCTGGCTGCATGGCTGTCCTGAATGGCCCTGCTGGATCCTGATGTGTGTTCTTACCTCACTGTCAGCTTGTCTAGCATGTAAGCTGGTTTGGTTTGTTGTGTTTTTTCTCCCTGAAAAGGGCCTATGATCACCAAATGTGTAACATGAGAGACTGTAAGGGATCAGTAAGAGAAGCATATGGGGTCTTCATCCTTCTGACATATCCAGCAACATGGACAGAAAATAAAGTTGCAATCGGTCATCGTAAGGATGCTTTTTCAACCCCCCCCCCCCAATCCTCCTGTTACTCTCTCTGACACAAATGCAAAAGATGACTAAAATCCAGGCTGTCCTTGATGAAGAGTGAATTACCTCCTGTCTGTGTGTGTCTGACTGCTGAATTTGTATGTAGGCATTATGTTTGTATCAGTATCTTGTTAGTATAGTGTAGGGCTTCTTGAGAACTTGCTTCTAAATGCTTCTGCTTGGAATGCTTTGTCTGTGTGATTGCTAGCTTTGAATACACTGTGTGTAGATACTGTTTCCTCACCTGATCCATGTTTCTGTTGGCTGTAAATAACAGCAGCATCTTGCTGCTAAGTTTTCAAGTTGCCAGCTAACAAAATGGAAGAAGGAGGAACCTTTTACTCCAGACCTACAGGTGTGTGTTGTAACACATTTAGAAGATGAAGTGAAAGGCTATTAATGGAAATGAGTTTTTTCATTTCCTGACTTCTGTACATTTTGATACTTAAATTTTCATTATTGTAACAGAGTGCAGTGTGTAACCTCAGGTTTTCATCTACATTAAAACGAAAACAGAAGCAGGGAAAGATTTTCAAGATTTTCATCAGTAAAGACAACTGAGTTATCTTACTTGTGCCCATGGCAAACTCCTTCCCCTTGAGTTTGGGGAAACAAGTAACAGTCTTGGTGTTGTCTTCAGAAAAGCATCCAGGGGAGATTGCTGTCTTAGAGATATAGAATTCTTTGTGTTGATGAAATGGTGAAGATGGGTTGTTTTAGTTCAGTAAAAACATCTAAAGGAATAAATAAGCAGGTCTGAACTGAGCATATGCTAATCTTTCACTGTCTTGAGTTTTGCTTCTGGCTAGGACTGGGGTTATGGATTTCTGCCCAACTCTAAGATGTGGAGACGTATCCAAAGAGCACAGTGACTTTCATATTTCTTGAAACTTCATTTTTCTCTCTCCTTATCCCTCCCCCAACTTGCAAGTCCTTACATTTTTCATGATCAGATGCTTCAAAGCTACTGAACAGAGTGGGAGGAAGGACCTCAGTTTGTAAAACCTCTGCCTCATGAATTATGCAAACAGACAGAAGGGTTTTTTTCTTTGACTTCAAATAGAAGGTTCTGCCTTGACCACAAACAAGTCTGGTTGCTTGTTGCCTTGTAGCTGTTGAGTGAAGCATGCACAAAACATTCGGTGAAAGTGAACTCACTCGTAAATCTGTTGTTCCTACTTTGGTATGAAGTCCCAAGAACTTGCCATTATGAAAGATATATTAGAAAGCCTTCAGGAGAATTCTTTTTTCTTTCTTTCTTTTTTTTTTAACAGCGGATTTGCAAGAAGCCTCTTACTCTACTGATGCTGATGTTCTGGAAACATCTTCAACTGGAAGAAACTAGATAATGAGCTTAGAGCTGATACAGTGGAGTTAAAATGCTGCTTATCGTGATACTTAACAGCTGAACAGCAATCTGTCTTGAGTATTGAAGTGTCCTAAGGCAAGCAACTAACTTTGGTGGCACGAAAACATCCTGAAAATGGTAGTTGCTTGAGGAATACAGATAGGCTGGTTTTCATGGCCTTTCAGATGGGTGATATGCTGGAGAAACTTAAAGTTGCAGGTGAGGTCTAATCTGTGCAGAGTTCTATTAAATATTCACCAACAAATGCTGAGTCTTGGAATTGAACAAAAACCAAATCACTTAAAATTTATTTGGATTTACTGAGGCCTTTCAAAAATGTTATGACCTGAGGAAAAGCTTGAAAGAGCTTGTATTGCATTGCATGCTTAATGGTTAGCAACAACAAAAGGCGTTTCTTACATGAGCTGTTTTTGATAGTGGGCAGCAGATGGTGGACTCGAGGAGGTGAGGGCAAACAGCAAATCTGTGAGCAGAGCTGCTGCCAGGCATCCCACCGTGTTATCCAAACGTCATGTGAATGACAATGGTTGCTTTACTCCTTTCTGTGGAGAACTGCAGTTCCAGCAGAGGCTGAACGCAGGTGTGTAATGACTGCTAACGGATATTTCATTGTGATTTATAAAGATGTGTACTATTCTGACCCTAAGCTCCGTATCTCATGGAACTAGGCTGTTCTGCTGCTACTCTGTGCCTTGAGCCTGGGTCCTTGCACTGTGCTGGTTCTGACTCACGTGCTTGGATTGGGTTGGTTTGTCTTTGAACCATGCTACCAGTTTAATTCATGCCTTCATGCACTCAGTGAGGATGTTCCCATCTCTGGCAGTGGCATTTTATTCAGGACTGGCTGCACAGCTGCTCATATCTCTGCATCAGATCAGATCCACCCTGTGAAAGATCTTTGATGTTGTCCAAGCTGCAAAGCAACACCGTTAGCCAAGAGTGGGGCACAGCGTGCTTCTGTCCATGCTATCACTGAACACTAAAACCATGCAAATCCCAACTGTAAAAAAAAAAAAATCAATCTCAACTTGAGTAGGCTGAAGATGTGGGTTTATTTTTTTTTTTCCCCTTTTTGGAATGGATGCTTAGCTTTTGGAACAGCTCTGCAACCACAAAGGAAGAGCACACGGCTGCTGGCTGGGCGGCGTCCTGGCTCTGCTGCACTGCTGTATAGCTGGAGTTGTGTGAGCTTCCAGCCCAGCTGTTCCAGTGCTGGCACACAGCCTGCCTGTATTGCCAGCTCCAGAGCCAGCATCTTCCAAAACCTCCCTGAGTTTTTTTATAAAGCAGTCAATGACTGCAATGGAATAGGTCTCCTCAGATGAGTTTTGGGGCTGACCCACATGCAAACACGTGTTTTATTGCAGATTTCTGTTGTGATGGGCTGGCAGATATGCAGGCTCTGCTCTGATTCATCTGACTTCTGATGGCTTTAGTTTTGAAATGCGTGCCTGCTATAAGGCATTTTCAGCACAGAGCAAAATGTGCAGTGATAAATGAATACTTTCATTCCTTCTTCTGTCTCTGCCACAGTTTACAAACCGAGATTCTTCCTGTGTGCTACGTAATGAGCTATTATGCTGGAAGGGCAGCAGCGACCAAACGTGGGAGCTGCACTGCGGTGCTGGGCCGTGGGATGGCAATGTTGTCCTGGCTTGAGAGCAAGCAGCAGCTGGTGACATTTTTCTGTCCCTTGAACGTGTGCCTTTGGAGTGATTCAGCTGAGAGGAGAAATGAGGATTGGTCTGTGTCAAGGGATGGGATGAAAAAGTGGGTGCTGGAACTGGGGCAGGAGTTTCTGCATCATTCAGGAAAATGCAGTGCTGCTGGAAATACCGTGACAAAGACAAATGCTGCTGGTTGCCCAGCTAGATTTTTTCCATCGTGAGTCTGTTACCTTGAACATATGAAGTATGCTCATTTTCCAGTGTCTGGGTAGATTTTACAGTATCGGTTTAAGTACTGGAACATTAATAATTAAAGCTGCTGGAGTACTGGGAAACTAGTTTGTTCCTTAAGTATGATTTTAAAATATGTTAAAAGATGCATAGGGTAGAAGGCACATCCTGTAAGCGGGCTCATGACTGTGGATGTGTTGGCAATCAAAACTGATGGGGAAAAAAAATTATGCAGTGCAAGACAGTGTCTCTTTCCTATATAGGGTAATGTCCTCTACGTGGAAGAAACTTCTTCCTGTTCTGCTCCTTTATTCTAAAGGGATGGCATCTATACTGCATGCATTCAGAACAGTTTGCTGCTTCAAGTGCGTGGCTTTTTCTTCATTTAAAAATAAGATTACTGTTTTGTTCATCTGATTTGGAGTCCAAACTGCACGGGTCTGTCGAGGGGGCTCTCCCTGTTAGTGTGTGTGTTAATCTCAGTGGGATGGGAGCTCGGAGCTGTGCTGCATGCAGGCGGTGTGCATCCTCTTCAGACTCGAGAGAGCCCTCACAATATTTCCTCGAGCAATCCCACAAAATCTGCATGCAGAATAGAAAACACGCTGCATAGAAATTGGCGTGTTTGTGCTTGTATGCACCTTTACAGTAGGAGGATACCTCACCTTTTATTTTATGCTAGC